GTGGCTTGGTCATTGTAAAACGAAGTTTAGACTTGACAATGCTCATTTTAGAGAATGTTCGTTCAGCAGATGCAGAAGTAACAGGAATTGTGGCCAGTCCTGTGAAGACGCGTGAGAGGCAAGGAAAAAAAAAATTGTGTTTTGTTTGCCAATCAACAGGGGGGGGCCATGGCCCCCTTGTGCCCCCCCTTAGCTACGCCAGTGACCAAAAGCGTATTAAGTTACACTACGCTCTTGATAATAATTATTCGTTTTTGTGGTAGAATAAACATCTCAAAAAGCAGACGAGGGGTGGCGGTAGTAGTTTCCGGAAGTGAAATGCGGCGCTCTTGCGCAATGCGAGGTCTCTTTACATTTTGCGCCATCGTATCACTTGAGTGTGTTGCACTTGCAGCTGGATACATCGTGTTACAATGATCATCTTCAGGGATGTATTCACGGGTAATAGATTCATCGTATATTCATTGATCTGTTGAAGTATTCCGGATTTAAAAGCATTAGTGGAACATTGCAGTAAGATCGTTTAAACATGAGATTGGTGAGAATAGTACTATCAGGGAAACGGTACGAAGGTGTAAGTACGGAAGTAAACACGTACGCAAATTTATACATCCCGTTTCATTCGCAACGTGAGCTATATGTTCATTCTTAGAATGATTATTTACGGTATCATTTTTGCTAATGTTGTGTTTCCTTTGGAATATCATGTTTGTTGTAATGTGTAGCGTTTACACTGCAGTTGCATTGTTAAGTCTGGCCTAGCCCGACCAGGCTCTCCGACTGTTACACGTCACTCGCAGCTAGGGCCTGCATACGGTGCCATACCTCCCAAATCCCATTGGTTGATACAAATCACGTGCCTGAAACTTCTGTTTAATAAAACTTTTATGGTGCATTGTGACCCTAACCTTAACACTAATTACAATTTAATTAAAAAAATTAACTATATTTGTATCAACCAATGGCAATGGGAGTTGGGAGGTAATCGTATGCAGGCCCTAGCCGCGAGTTTACAGGTCGTAGCCCTCTCGCCAACGTAGTGTTAAGGCGAGAAGGGAACTTGTGGCTAAGTCTAACCATGAAACTGGCTACATGATCAGAAACAGAATAATTTATTTTCATTTTTGCACATCTATCTAAAAGCAGTATTAAGTCATAAGTGGGCTAGTGTCAAATTTTGGATGCTACAACAAGAAATGAAGAATCAAGATAAAGCATGAATCGTTGATGTTGAATGGCAACGAAAATAATTTTAGAGATATAAATTATATAATTATTTATTCTAATATCTTAGAAAATAATTTTTCGAGATATGATGTGATTGACATTGGTACGGTAGTAACAAGTATGTGTTGGTATAGACGATTTGCTATAAGGTAAGTACAGTTGTATGCAGTAAAATCCTTTTAAGGGCCCTGGAAGCTCGGGGGTTTTAGAATAGATGCTCTCTGGTGCAATCTGAGCCTTATTTTAGAGCATTTTTGCACAAAATATATGACCTATATTTTAAAATATTTGGGTTGAGTTTATTCTATTTCTTAATTGTCAGTGATGCTACTGCTCATGCAAGCATTTGTTGACTCCTCCTTGTTAGAAGGAATCTGATGAAATAGGTTGGTTATTGTGAGCTGTTTTTTATTCATGGCGGATTGCGAAGTGCTATGATATGAGGCTCAGGACAATTAAGTGAAAGTCTATGTCGGACAAGTTATTAGTTTGGCTAGTAGTGGCTCGACTGGACAACTAAAAAATTTCTAGTTGTGTAATAGTCCTAACATCCTTTGAGCCAGGGCGCTATCACACAACATTCTCACAATATATTTTCAAAGGTCGCCAAAAGAAGCAGGGTGCGAGGCATGCCTATGTGCCTGCTGGCAGGGGCAGCATTGATTGACATATGGGGGGCACACAATTGGTTCAGTCGCGTTGTGCTAATCACTACTGAAATGTAGGGGGTGGGCACTGCTGGACTATGAGAGAGCGACAGCAAAGCTCTTTCCTGGAATTGAGGGAAAAGCTACAATCGGGAAAACGAGTGTGCCGACATGCAAAAATAAACGTGTGAATTTCATTACGATTTTCCATGGATTACCGTTTTATAATCCTACGGGTCGTTGGTCCTAGGGGCCTACGTAGGCACACAGGCACGCGTACGGGCACGCGCGCATGAATTGGAGCAAGCAGCTCAGAAGACGTATACGCACTGTATGACTCGACTGCCCTTAAAGCCTCACAATGCGCATCCAAACGCTATATAATTTCTCCAGTACTAGACTAGCAAATACTACGTGTCATGCATAATCACACTACCTTATGACAAAATAAACTCATAGTTCCTCCCATTTCACTGCGCGTTGTCTTATAAAAGGTATTTGAAAATACCTCCAATGTTGTTAAAATTCTCCGATGTTGTTGACAGTTTTCCCAAGCGGTACGGGTGTAGCAAAGATAAAAACATGTGACGTCACCTCACCACTTCGAGGCTAAATTGTTTGGCAAACAGTCGGCGTTTGCGCCAGAATGCCAGTTTTCTCACCTCTTTTTTGTGGGTTTTAAGCAAATGCGCAGTGAAATGGGAGCAACTAAAGTTTATTTTGTCATAAGGTAGTGTGATTATGCATGACACGAAGTATTTGCTAGTCTAGTACTGGAGAAATTAGCGTTTGGATGCGCATTGTGCGGCTTTAAGACGAGTGGGTGCCCGGCCATGCACAGAGTAAAACAGTGTAATATACTGTAATAGTGTATGCTACAAGCGCGCGCTGTGACTATGCGTATGTTCTTGCTTTGATATTTCAAACCTGTCGGCTCAAAGCTCAAACCTGCTGGCCTTGCATGTTAAAACCCCTCGTGGACCACACTGCTATAATTGAACTTTACTATTATGTTGCAGAAGATGAGCTGTTCTCTGATTCCTATAAATATAAAATAGTGGATGATCTTTACTATGAAGTTGAAGGGAAAGTAAGTATGAACCTGTGTGCTCTAAATGCCAAAAAATTTTACATTTTAATTTTGTATTGGAAGAATATTTAATGGAGACTGTCATTATTGTGTTTGTGCATTGATATGTCAGTGTTGCTTTGGGTTTGCTCGTATATATAAAGGCTTTAAGCGTCTGGGTTCTGTTATGTGCATGTGAATAAACATCCATTTGAGCAGATGTGTATATTTGTGTGCGTGCGTGCGTGCATGTGTTCCGGTTAATAAACATGCAATATAATATATGGTGAATAGTATTTAAATTAAAAAATTGTCTGTTTGCCCTTTTCCGACATACTATTTTTGTAGTGGGTAGGTAGGTAGGTAAATTATTTTATTTTATTTTGTTTTCTGGGTAAGTACACATTAAATGTTAGTGTTAATTCAGACTTGTTCATCTGATTGCTCAATTTTAACATATTTTAAGTCTTTTTTAAATTCATGAGTTGTTGATATCGGATCATCGTAATGAGCTTCAAAGGTCTCTGTACCAGTTCTCGTTCTCAGCGAAACTTTGACGTGCCCGCCGCCCAAGGCATCGTCCACTTCTGTGGATACATTGACACCGGCGGTTACAAGATCGACAACATCTATCCACCTTTGCTTAATTGATGTTTTTATTATTCTATTTGTCACCAACTTTGTCGTGATCGACACGCATAAAGGAATCTCCATCATTTGTAATAAACGAGTATCTTACGTAACGCATACTTTAAAAAACTTAAAAACGCTTTGTACGTGCCGTAATGAAGTCAAATACAAGCGCGGTCAAGTGCCTGCATCATCGTGACATGATTAGAGTCTGTGCAGTAAAGGAAGAAGAAGAAGATGACAGTACCTACTCGACTTGACTAGTTGCCGCGGCGATGGAACGTACATTACAGGGGTAGAAATTAACTTTTGAACACGGGAGTCCAATGGACTTCCTACCCTCAAAAAGAGGGAGTTTGCAGTCTGAGGCTCAAAATTAAGGATATTTACAATAACGCATGTGCTTATCTTTAAGATTCATGCGGTTGCACGTCTGGCAAATTTTCGTTGGACATTAGCTGAAAAATACGGTAATTCTGCGAGGCGGTGCTCTGGAACGAACAAATTAGTATGGCAAAATTTTCAGGGAGTCTGTCTGACTCCTGCATATATGTCAAATCAGGGAGTATTTGACTCCGGACTTCGGACCGTTAATTTCACATCCTGGTACAATGTCTAGACGCATTGTCTAGCTCGCTTGATACAATGAACGCATGTACGCATCTATATGTGTATGCCTGATACGGTGACCTGAGCCTCGCTCTTGCTATACTATGCAGCGTGAGAAACTAGCGGTCGCCCAGTCGCCAGTGGCGATTAGAAAATTGACCGGGTGACTGCTTGCTCGTGTCAGCTGGTCCGGCGGGGCGACTAGATAATTGCCGCACAGGAAATAAATTTTTTTACCAAACTGCAGATTATTTTGTTATTCTCTAGTCTCTACTAACCTTCTACATTATTCTAATGGAATGAATGGTAAATTTAATCAAATATAGACTAAAAATAGTCAAATTCCGAAGCCTAAAGTCCATGCGAAATACACAAACTCTCCATGTTTGTTGTGTTCGATTTTCTAGGTCATGCTGTTAAACCTCTGCTAATTCGATAATACTGACCAATCAGCGATCGCGTAATAAAATATGATAATTTATAGGAATAATGGGCGGTCTTCAGAGACCGCTGATCTTTGAAATCGACTTGCGGACTTGTTCCGATTTACTACGCATCAACATATCGAAACGAGTAAAAAATATAATTTTTAAGAATACCTTAGAATGCACATCACCAAATTGCACCATCCCCCCCCCTCCTACAAAAACGTCCCCACATCCAAGTCATTCACTTTGCTATGACAGAAATCCTGGACCAGTGCCTACTGACCAGGACCAGTACTTCCTCAGAGGCGGACCAGTGCCTCCAATTATCAGTTTTTCACCCTGCTATGCCTTCTGTAGTATGTAAAGAGTGGCATAGTAATGCTCATAGGGTTACTGTTACGTTAACGTACGTAGAGTACGACGTACGTGCTGTTACATTGACGTTGAACCTAAAAACAATCGGCCGATCAAATGCACTCCTCATATCATGTGATCAGTGCGAGTTGCATCTATAGAAATTTATAAATAACTATAGTTGCATCGACATTATTGCTGCGTTCACACGAAATACACGGCCTTGCTGGTTCTGTCCACTTATCTGGGGCTGAATTCGGCTGAAATACCGTGCTAACACAACCCGGAGCGTTCACACGAGAATCGAGGCTTAGCTGGCTAGGTACAATATTAATAGTAAATAATTTCTCCGCTAGAGGGAAGTGTTTTTCATGATGGCGGCCCCCATGAAAGTCAGTTGTTTGTGGCAGTTTTTCAGTATAATTCCACAAAATGATGATCCAGATGAACATTACGAATGCTTTGGTGATGAAGACGATTATCAAAAGGAAATTCGGAGAAATATTTTCAATGGCATGAGCCTCAAGTGAAAAACGACACTCCGTCGCCTAGTATCAATGTAGCGCACTACAGTTTCGCGGCTTACGAGGCCTCGAATTGCGTTCACACGACAGACAATACGTGGCCAGCGTGGTGCCGAATGTTTCAGCGCGGAATCACTGCACGCCGAATAAGCCTCGTATTTCAGTACGGTACTTGCGAGGCCGCGTATAAGTCTTGAATATTTTTACCGTGTGAACGCCCAGTACGGTACTGAAATCCTCATGTGAATTCAGCTATTAAAGCGCTCGTTGCCCAGTGGCTTACAGTTTCCCAGACGCTAGTTGTGCCGAGTAGTAGCACGCGCGTGGGTTTCCAGTTGCTTTCACTTGCGTTGAATCGCGGTGAATCGCCGGCGACATAAGCCCCGCGTAGAGACGTACATGGGGGGAAAGAATGTGAGTAAATAAATAAAAAAATTCCAGAAAATTGAAATCAAATCATTTGAGTCGGGCTGATTTTCGTTGGTCAGGTAATGGCAAACAAATAATATTTTGATTTAGGCCTGAGGCAAATTCTGAGGCTGGGGTTCATGTACCAGTATGAGTATAAAGTGGACCAACCTAGAAATATCCCTGAATGCTATGAACAATTTCCTGTTACAGTTAACAACACGCTCAAATGATTTCGATGATGCGCTGATTGGCGCAAACGCCTCAGCAGAGGATGGAGCCGAGACTTTCGATAGGCAACAAGAATCCGGTATCGACATTGTACTCAATCATAGCCTGATGAAACATGATGCTTATGATAAGAAGGCATACATGCAGTACCTCAAAAAATACATGAAAAGGTAGGTTGTAAAAGTAACTAAAACATTGTAATGGTTTAGTTAATTTGGGGTAGGGTAAGGATATAATTACCCGGTAGCTTCTAAAGTTTCTTATACTAACACTCAATACTCAATCTTGGAATACAGGCGTTAGTTTTGCCTCATATATATATATATGGTGTGAAAATTCATTTAGCTTGCTGCTGAGTATTACATTAGTTTAGTGGAAATGTTAAGAAATCAACAATAGGATGATCAAAGAATTGAGAAAAGACGTACTTATTTTTGTACAAGTAGATTTTCTTAGTCACTACTTGTTGCTAACATGGGCTTGTATCACTATAAATGTTTGATTTAAATAACCATTTTTTGTTTAAGACTAGCGGAACATGTAAAAAACGAGAAGGGGGAGGACGCAGCCAAAGTCATGAAAGATAAACTGAATGAATCGGTTCCTAAGAAAATTTTACCAAACCTCAAAAACTATGATTTCTACTCGGGAGGTAAGATTTTTGAAATGTGCATGTTATGTTATAGTAATTTTTTAATAGCATTAGAATGCTTAATGTAAATACATTATGTATGCATGTTTACGTACGTATGTCTCTTAAATAACTACAGGCCTGACTTTAGTTACGTGTTAAAAAATCGTGGCCAAAAAAATAAACTACCCAAAAAACAAAAAAATTCTGCAGGTATTCTCATAACCCAACCTATTTCCTTAACCCAACGCATTCACTGTACCACTTTTGTATTTACTGGGTTTGTTCCTGTATTGCATATATAGTAAAAATCATTTCTACACGAAATCGCTACTTGCTAACCTTATGCATGAGTTACACTGCGTGTGTTAATTGTTTATTCGGTACCGAAACTTTTCCCGAAAAGACCGAAGTTTATCAAAGTTGCCTTCGCTACACACATGACTACATTACATAGTTCGTAGATATTGATATCCTGAAAGTGTGCTCGCTGTATGAAAACACTAGTTCCCGGCACGATTGAAATTCACTTCAGAGAGGGATTGCCATGTTGTTTCTTGACCTAACTAAGTTGAGCCTAATATGGCTAAACTAATTAGCCAAATTGCTAAAAAAAAATGTCCAGCTAAAACCCTGCATTAAGGTGGTAGTTTTTGATTTATTTTGGCTGCCTTTGAATTAAAAAGGTTTGTCAATCAATGTGTAACGATGTTGGGAAAAATTATAAAAATTTGACTTGCTGTTACAATTCCATATGACATCCACTCACCTTTCCAGTTAACGAGGATTAAATGAAATTCTTTTTACAGCTGATTTATACTTATAGCATGATTACAGCAAGAAAACGTGTCTCTTAACTAAGGCGTTATATTATGATGGATAAAGCCTGGCGCACACGGGAGTTATTTTACTCAAGTAAAATGACGCATGAGTCAAATTACTCAACGAAAATCCGCCGCACACGTGAGTAAAATGACTCATGCATCATTTTACTTGAGTAAAATAACTCGCGTGTGCACCGGGCTTAAAACTCAGGTTGCCTCTTGTTAAGCTATGTGTTCCTGTAGGGCAATGTATGGAAGCCTTACAAATTTAGGTGTTTGTTTTAGGTGAAAACTTTGGTGATCAGGAGGGTATGCTAGCGCTGCTAGACTGGCGAGAGGATGGAGTCACTCCATTCTTTATCTTCTTTAAAGATGGACTTGTACAAGAGAAATTTGTAAGTATATTTCAGTTAATTGATGTTTTGCCAGCTGCAATGTTTTTTCTGTAAAGGATGTCAGTATCTATCCCAATGAAGGCTAACAAATAAGGCCACCATTTTTTATTTTGTTGGTTTACAGACTTTTTGTTGTTGTTGTTGACTCGGTAGGGTAAAAAAAAAAAAAAAAAAAATGTTGTTTTGTCAGATCAAACAAGTCAAATTACAGTGATACTGTTATACATGATATTAAAGTATTTTAAGAAAACTAAATGAAAACAAAACTCAACTTGTAATTATTTTTACTTTTATTATAAACTATTTGTTTATGAAATGTTTTTGTTTTATACATTTAAATTTTTTTTATTCATATTTCTTAGAGAAAAGGTCGGCGGGAATAAAAAAATACAGATTTTCATTTTTTTTTCTTTTTCGTTTTTCTTGGAAATTCGGGTCGGCGGATCTGTAAACCAACAAGATAAAAAATTCTCGCCTAAGGGGGTTTAATTATAGCAATACTTGCCCTCTAACGTAGTTTCATGACCCCAAAAAATAGTTATAGTTAAGAAAATTTGTAATTGCAAATTCATTACTGCCTATTAGATGAAACAAAATGGTTAATGTTTCCATACCTCTTTACATTTTAAAGCTTTAATGGAAGTTTTTGGTCGTGGTCTAATATCATCATGTCCAGTAGCTGCCCCCGTCGTTTTCAATGCTTAATTGAATATCAAAACTATTTAAATTTCCGGTGCCCAGTAGGATATCAAAGCCACACAATTGGTTGTTGCCTAATAGCATGTATCCACAGCATCATAAGTATGAACTATTATTTTATATGGGGTGGAAATGGTTTTAGTGCTTGTTATGACTGCGATCAGGACATTGGGTCGGAGTTATGTAATTCAGATATAAATCATGTAAGGTGGCAGATATGTTTTTCTGGTTACATTGACTAAAATATCTGTGGCAGAGAGTGCAATAAAATGCTATAGTCACTCTGATATACAGAAATAAGTCACTTTATACTATCTATTATAATTTACTGTATTAAACTGTTTGACCTTGGGTTTGTAAGTAATATACAGGGCAGGAATTCCATAAGGCATGTTGCTTAAGAATGGATAGGAACCATGTTTTGACCCTTACATGATGAAAAATAAGTTATGCTTAATACTATAGCATAGTTATATAATTAGAATATTTTTTACAAAAATTGGTTGGTAATTATTTAGTTCGTAGTAACTGTTATGTGTAAGTCTACTAATAAGGTGTTACCTGTTTTTCTGTTTCAGTAAATAATTTATCTACACCGCCGGTATGAGTCTCCAATCTTACACTGGTTGTGTCTTGTAATCGCTGCTGACCTTGTTGCCGCCTTCATCAATACCTGCTTATCACTCGGTCAAACATGGTTTTAACTCTCTGGCATATGCGAGTCTTGTTTACTATTGATGTCCATTTACTGCGAAATAAGTACTAATTAATGTTAAAATGATTAATTATTCTGTTCAATGTAATTGGGCATTTCATAATGCAGGTCTCTTTTCTTCCATACGTGGTGCACACATTCAGTGGGATGGATTGTTGTGTATTTACCAGCATTGACATTTGTGTGGACTGTTCATACGTGTTGGTGTGTAAAATACATACAATACATCCACCAATTATGTAATACTTATGAAACTGTTCTGGCCAATATATTAAACCATGTTATTCATAAAATAAAACGTTTGATGAAAACAGCCTGAATGGTTTATATCATGCTTAAATATGTGATCTCAAGGAAAACATTTGATAATTACAGCTGTGGAGATAATGTAAATTAACACGAAACATACAAGTTCGGTTGTCTTGCCATTGCATTGCATTGTATCCCCTTGGGTTTACATGTATTATTAGTGGTGGTCTTAGTACTTGTAGTAGTAGTAGGAGCAGTAGCAGTGCTGTTATAGTCGCTCGATAAGTCGTTAAGACGTGGTGGTTATTTTTAAATGACTACAAGTTTGTTATCATCTCAAGAACTTTTTCTTAATACTTGTTAAAATAGAAATGCAAAAACCTTCCAACATTTTGTATGCAATGTAGAATACAGCACATTTTTACTACACTGGATTAGAACGAGTTAATTGTCAACAACTGCATTCTTTTTATTCCAATTTCATTCCACATTGTAAACAGAGGAATCTGCAAGCAATACAGCATATAATGACAGCAAACTTCACAGAAACAACACTCAATAATGATAGTAAAGTCACATTCCTGGTGCGTTTTACAAAAAAAGAGATTGACATAGTATATGCATGCGTGCCTTTGTTATTAACACATGTTGTGAACCAGAAGGATCCATGATACTACAATATTAACTGTCATATGTACACGAATGACAAATTTTACATATACTGACAGACAAGTCCACTACCCCAGTTGCAGTGTCCCACAAATCACAACAACTTCTGTTTGCAATATTAAAGATGCCTTCTCGAATTGAATGTGACTAACCAGTACCAAATTCGAGAAACCCTTATATAATTAACAAATTTAACCACACGTGAATGTTATAGCTTTGAAAACGGGACTAAAATTAGTAACACTCCAACACTACCTGAAAGGAAATTCCAACAAAAATTATACGTAGACAGGCAGTAAGCTCATTGAATTTGCATGGACAACAGCTATGAGCACAAACAGAGCTGCAAATATAGAAGTAAGTTTATAACATACAGACCTTACTTTATTGGTAAAATATCACGCATAAACGTAATTGCGAGAAACTCGTCATACATATCATCATCTCGTATACAGCAGGAGTTTGACAATTGCAGACCAGCTATTATTTCCTGACGTACAGGCAGTATAAACCAACCTGAAAATAACAAACTTTTGCCTGACTTTATGCTTCATGGCACGATTTAAGTAAACAGGCACCTAGGATAGTAAACGTGACAGCTTTTACCTAGGTACAAATGGCTGTAATGTTTATGATGTTGGGGTGAGAGAAAGCGATAATTAATATTTGGGCACGTGCACAACTGCACTGACAAGGGGTAGTGGACATACAAGCTAAAAATGTCTTCTGGAAAAGCTCCCAGCATTATCAGAATTTATATAATAAAATGGATTGCTGATACCACGAATCTATGTACAGGCTGGAACCCAGTAACCTCGCACCCTTACAAGTCTGGTGCCAGACCAGTGAAAATTCTGAACAATGGAAGGTTAAAATAACGCCTAAAATATCGTCAAGTCTCGACCTCTTAGGTGCCATATTGAAGGTAAATAATAGCCAGGTCACTGGGAGTGAAGACCGCATCTAAACAATGATTGTTGATTGTTTAGTAGTAGTGCTCATAGGGTCTATATGTCCCCCAGGGTACTGCCGGAACGTACCCTGGTAACTATCTAGCTGATATGGTTAGGGTTAGGGAGTAGGCGTAGGCGACTCCCTAGACTCGTTAGTGGAGTAGGCGAGGTACGGTCCGGCATATTAGATAGTAGTATTTAGTACCAGGGTACGTTCCGGCAGTACCCTCCGTACCCAGGGTACGTTCCGGCAGTACCCTGGGGGACATAGACCCTATCACCAGTAGTAGTGCCGCCAAAAGGCAGCTCCACGAACTAAAAACGACCAACTGGTTTCAATTTGTGCCTGATTACCATTGTCCAACCTGTATACATTCACAGCATCATGCTATCAACCAAAGAACTTGTACAATTTTTTATAAACAATAGTCACGGTTGATCATAACAACTAATAGATGCTTAGCTAAACTTAAACTTTAAATATTACTGTTTCAGCAGGGCACTTCAATGTGATCTAGGGATTTGTGGCATGAATATACTTGATTTTTCTGATAAATACTACGTATATATATATATAATCTAAGGCACGACTGCCTTGAAAATAAGTACCTACTGCGCGTTAGGAATAGCCTCTAGCAAAGGGCCAATATACATTACGATTCTGCTCGGCCGTCAAACTATATACCCACTCCACTCTATAACCGGCAATTGCGTTCCTTGTACTGATACGATTGGATTTCGTTCACAGCAGACAAGCAACAGCAGCCATCACACTATATAGCAACTACCACTCGTAATGCTGCTGCAGAATGCAGAACAACACAAGCATGTAGAGCAGCCATATAACGACCACGACCTACTCAATGATAAATGATTCCTTACATTCAGTAATATTCTTATTGACTGCTGACTAGAACAGTACCACCGTTAGTCATACGTGCCCAATCAACAAAATACTGCCCATATTTCATATCCTGCTGTTGCAAAAACTAGAGCCTTCCACTTTTTTTGCAATCAGGGTTTGATCCTCAGCGAATTGTACAATTTCTTACGGAACTACATAGAGGTATTCTCACACGAAAACTGTTGATCGTTTCAACTTACCGGGCCATAGGCATCTGTACAGTATAGATGTACCCAAATAACAAAAATGCTATAATCATCTGGAGGAAGCCAAATTGGTTATGCAAGTAGTATGTACCTTTCACAACATTCTTCTATACAGTTACATGTTTCTCATCCTAATATAGAATATTATATATAACAGCATAACATATTTTTACCCTCACGTTATTATAGAATATAAACAATGTGGTAAATAAACAATAATATTTAAAGCATTCAAATTCAATCATGAAAGGAAATTTTTCCCGACGCCACTTGCCACTAACACCAATGCTTTGGCCAGACATACAACGGAGGTAGGCAAATTTCTCAAAGGATGAGATTCATACTAGGCTCTGCATGATTGCCATTCACACCTAGCTGGGAAATGGCATACAAAAAATTAGAGCCGATAGGGCCTGTAAATGATCTATTAATTTTTCCGTTTGCCTTCGAATACAACCAACCATAACTTGTGGCCTAGATAATTACTTCTTATCAAACACAATATTTGTTATCATGATTTCTTTCACAATGTGACGACGATTGAAACGAAAAACATGCTACACCAAGTTTGGCACCAAGTGTTCAAGCCACAAGCACAGGGACCGGTAGCAGTTGTGACTAAAAGACCGTATGACGTCTGATCGAATCAACATGTCAGGTTAACATATCATTTCAATGATCACATACACATACAGCTCAGTACCAAGACAAAGACGTATCTGTTTTGTAGGCAGAGGGGCACACTACTCATCTGTCTCACCGGTGGTGAAACAAGATGGTGGCTACACTTGTTTTGCCGTCCCCGAGATGAGACATCTCAATGCATCAGACTCTCCGGTGTCACGCGAAATTCCTGACGTGTGCAAAAATACATGATATAGGATGCCTATGTGCATGCGTGCCGACCCGACCAATCACAGCTCGTCTTTGTGTTACGATAAATTGTGTACACTTGGACGAACACAAACTGTCAATTGAAGGTTTGTATAAAATTTGTAATGTTTATATTAGTTAGAGTTTAGAGTTGATAGGTAGAGGTTGTAGTTGATATTCTTATTGATTGCTTAAGTGTGTCAATTCAGATCTTATTAATAATGCAAGGAATGAAGTAGTACTAATGATCACATAGGCATACAGTAGTACTAGTACTACTACACATGCGTGTGGTATGTGGTATGTGTGTGCGGGGTGTGTGCTATGACAGTGCAGACGAGATGTGATTGGTCGGGTCGGCACGCATGCGCATACGCATCCTATATCATGTATTTCGCTAGTCAGGAATTTCGCGCGACCTGACATCGAAAATCGACCCTGAGGCGTGAAGTCTCCATGTGTGTGGCTCATCCATCGAGTCTGAGGAGCGACATCTCTACGTGTCTGTCTCTTCGTCGGTCTGTGTGCTGGTGGTCTGCGTGCTGCGAGATTGCGTCTGCGTGAACGCGGTCTGGCTGCGCTGCCAGGCGCGTCTCAGCATGCGCAGCAGCTCCTCTCGACTCGAGTCGCGTAGACTGGCGAAGGGACGGCGTGTGCCGACGCTCGCGGGGCGCGCGACACGGCCGCCCTGCGCGCCACTGCCCCGCGGCCTGCTCTCCTCACTCCGACCCTCCTCCTCCTCCGCCTCCGCCTCCTCACGTTTCAGAAACGAACTGCAATGGATCAGCATGCAAGTCAGTGATGAGCCCTCATTGACGGGGATTGGAACTCAGTGCGAGCAGACAGAGCAAAAAGAATGCAGCTCGCAAACGTCATAATGAAAACCATCATGGCTATTATATTGAATACTGTATCGTGGTCTCTGGACTATCTAAACGTCAATACATTGCCTGGGAACAACTTCTTGCAATCGTGAGAGAAAGACACTTGTAAACCCTATATGGGTATTCGCAAGTAAGATGCCTACCCTAATCGGCACATGTGAAGGTGGCCTTTATTGGTGCCATAAACAAGGCCTTCTCCTGCTCCCGGAAGCCAGCGTGCTGAATTAGCACTTACATGCTCTGACGGCCGATCCAGTGGATGAACGATGTCATTCATGTGCTGTATGAAAATGTATAGCTATTATAGATATTTCCATTCAATCAGAATAAAAGGAATTACTGCACAATCAAGAAAAATGTAACTTAATACCTAATAGCAAACATGTCACCATAAGTAAATAATAGGGAACCTACTTCTGATAATAGGGATTCCCTATTATCTACTTCTGATGTTACTTATCACTTCAGTATTAAAATTACCATAAGTTTGTGCTATTATGGTATATAAAACAAGAAAATAATCCAGCCACGTTCTTTTGTGTGATGACAATTCCCTTGAAAACTGCATCCCATTGAGTGACGTTGTGGTTCTTCTAGACTGATACAACATATCTATTGCTTAATTCAAGTTACCATGTCAAAGTACCGGGACATGGTCTCGCGAGAAGCAAGTGGCATCATCAAAAGAAACCGCATCAAAATGATGTACAAACAGATAAATTGCTGTATATTTTTGTGAAAATAACAGTGTTACCAGTGTTCTAAGACAGGCAAGCCTTACTTTAGACACTTGCTGTTACGCAAGCAATTCATGTAGTGGTCAGAAAAAATACAATAACGGTCAGGAACTGTTTTTAAGCGTTGCCATGAGTGATAGCTACTTGGTCAGAAATATGATGAAGTAGTTATTGGTATAGACACGTACACAATCACAGGTACATGTTAGTGTGCAGCCACAGATCGGGCTGTGTAGTCATGGGTATGGGTGTGCAGTCACGAGTAGGGGTAAGGTTACACCTACTCACAGATAAGATTGCACAGTCACCAGGGGGACCACTATGTACAGCTATGGACAACTTTACATGACAATGTGCAGTTACTCTTTCCACTTGATTCGAGAAAAAATCTAGGACTTATTAAGCTGTTCGACTACAAGAGAGAACATCTATACTGTAACTCGTGTATTATGCAGAGTATGTATAATTAAAAATGCATAATAATAATAATAACTAGAGCACTCAGAGAGCACAGACCTCCGCCAAGGCAGCTCAATTCTGTCACTGTGAAAAATGTTATTAATTAATTAATTAATTAAATAATTAATTGGATCCTGATAACTACCAAAATGTAATCAATTCTAAGTTAGCCGATTTCTGACGTATCCTAAAAATTCAATTAATTAATTAATTTATTGGATCCGGATGACCACCAAAATGTAATCAATTCTAAGTTACCCCATTTCTGACCTATCCTGAAAATGTTATTAAGTAATTAATTAATTAATTATTAAATTGGATCCGGATCACCACCAAAATCTCATCAATTCTAAGTTAGGCGATTTCTGACCTATCCTGAAAATTTTATTAATTAATTAATTAATTATTAAATTGGATCCGGATCACCACCAAAATCTCATCAATTCTAAGTTAGGCGATTTCTGACCTATCCTGAAAATTTTATGACAATCCGTCCATAACTTTTTCAGTTAGGCTGTACACAAACAAACCCACAAACGAACAAACACACGCCGGTAAAAACATAACCTCCTGCCAACCCCTTGGCGGAGGTAATAAACTCAAAAGCCAAAGATATGATTCAGCTAAAGTGTATTAGTGTTCATATATAACTCCATAATACCACCATAGTGCATACGTGTTACAGTCAGTCTCACCCTAGTATAGTGTCTCCTAATGTCAATGTCAACTGTAATGCCAACCCATCAAAGAGCTTTACAGGCGGTACCGTGACGAGCGAAATGTACATACTGTCATACAAGCTCCCATGCCGACCTCATCACAGGTTTTGTCCAGCCGGAATATCTGTGCCATCAGCTGCTTGGACTGGCTCTGGTATGGGGAATAAGCAAACCGACGTGCAGCTAGCCCCACCAACACAAACTGGTTGCAAGGAGAAATGCATACCGAGATTGCATTGGGACCTGAAAACAATGCATATTTTATTTCGCGTTATCCCAGCTAGCTGAACTAGAATTATTCAACTCGTGATTATGATTGAAACAGTCGGTATTTGCAGATGCGCAAGTGCCCCGTTAGATTTAGACCAAGGCCGCAGATGACCAATTGTTGCACTGCACCTTTAAAATTATAAATCCAGGCAGAAAATGAAATACTGGTAGGCAAAATAGTTTCCCTGGGAACTTACCAAATCCGTGTGTATACAAGCACTGACCAAGTGTTTCTTTATCAAGAGAGTAGACGGCCAGAATCGTGTCATTCGGGAAAACACCCGTGTTCGGTATGAAGCAGGCCATCAGCCGACCATCAGCAGAAATGTCACAGTTGGCATCATTGTGAATGCGACAGTGTCCCACCAGCAGGTTACTGTTAGCTGAAGCATAACCAGAGGCGTTGAATATGCAAGTACAGTGCACACTGCAGGCATGGAAAATTTCTGTGAATTTCCACGCATTCGACAATCCTCTGGATCGATCCTGTGAAACGTCTGAATTCGATGAGAAAATTGAGGGGAGGGATAAAGTTCAAGAAATAGATAGCAGTCTAAAGAACAAGTTTTCATGGTCGTGGCTAGAAAAGACAGTGAGAATCAGTGTTGGTGGCAAAGATGAGTGCTTTTCGCTCATGGATTTCTTTCGCAAGCAGGACAGCAGGAGTCGAAAGGCAAGGTGAAATGCTTGCAGTTTACCAAACAGTTTGCCTACAGATAAAAAAGTGTGCCTGCCTTCATGGAACATGCCAGGAAATCGAAGAAGCATCTAAAAAAGATTATTATTATTTTGTGTTGACTTCATACAAACTGGAAACTTATAAAGCCTATATAAGGCTTATAAACTTATACTACCAAAAGGTATTTCCTCTATGACAAACTTATAAATATGCTTAACTTTTTGGTACACATAAACTACTAGGATATCAAATTGTAAAATGTTCAGGGTTTCTTATACATAAGAAGCACAGCGGCGCACTGCCGTTGTGAAATTTAACATCGCCGTTGTGAAAATGTTCCTGTATTTACCCGCCGTTGTAAAAATAGTGTCAACCCAAAAATAACTAGATCACCACGTGCTTCTGGCATATATTTAGATTGATATGCGCGTTTATTGAGTCATGTGACGCGGGGTCTTTTGGTCATGTGATGCGTTATTTTTTCCCAACCTGGCCATTGCCTCCTTTCTATAATTTTCCCTCAGAAGAAACCCTGATGTTGATCAAAGTTCCCTAAAATATTTTCTGACAACACTCTCTGGCCAAGGACTAGGGTGACTTTGGCAGATGTGAAGCTCCTGGAAGTGACACCGATAGCACTATAGAGCATCTAGAGACAGACAGCTTCTGGTCCCTAGGAGCCCCCCCCCCCAAAATGCCCAGCCTAGAGTGTGCTGCACATAGAAGGTTCCTCCAAATATTAGATTTTGTATTCCTATCCTCGAAACTGAAAGTGAACACTGAAGGAATGGTAAGTTTCAGGGTCGCATTCCATACTAGCTGGCTCTGCCTATGAAAATTGAGCAATATCCACGGCAATAAACCACCAAGCCTGCCCTACCTAGTTTGCATCTGTGCCTTTACAATAAACTCAGTGATGTGTATGCATCATCCTATGTGCATGATTCTTCTTTCCTCCATGTAAAGTGTTGTTAAAAAGTATCTTATCTCAATAACCCTTCTTCAAAGAAAATGTTTGGTTTAGTGCCCTATAACAACTGATTAAGCTTAAAACAACACTTGGACTGCCTAAAAGAATATGATCCCTCGTAATGCACCGATAGCAGATTATGTCTGAAATAGTTGGAGGACCTATGAAACACAACAGCTTAGAGGATTAGGTTCAAGTGTGCAGAGACTGCCTTACCATCACTGATATCTGGAATCCTATACTGTCTGAAATCCCACCTCTGAATTCGGTGTGTAAGATTTGTGAAGCGATTTGCCATGACTGGCTCACCCTGTACGGCAAAGGCACCTGAAAACAAACAAAAAATGCATACTTGCTTAAATACCGTACTCTACTTTACTACGAGAATTTTGACACATCAACAGCCACATAAATAGGTTATATTTTACTACAAAAATGAAACTTGCCTGAGATGTTAATACAACATGTACTATAGGAGGTGTAAGTGAAGCAACTTCATTTCACAATCTAGATCTTTTCATGTGCATCACTCAACCCCACACTGTATCACATGGTAGACATAAACAGAGCTGACTCACATACACCACACCACACTAAGCAACTAAAATATACTGCAGTGTACGTACAAAGATTGCACATGCCGTCATGTTCTAACTTCACCCTGCCTAATGTAACGGCATTCAGAGTACTAAGTAACCTTATGTGAGGCGTCTGCTATAACTTCACCTGCGATCGCACGGTTGATGGCACTCTGAAGCGCATCCTCTCGATTGCTGCCCGACGGCTCGGCTTGGCTGACTGTGCGACCTGGCACAGGCTGAAGGTACACACTGCGCCCCATGTGACCGGGATATCCGAGAAGCCTTGGCTCGTCTCTACGCTGGATCCCTGCCTGATACCTGCAAGAAATATTGAAACGTGTACACAAAATTGCCAGCAGACAGTTTGCAGATTAATGGGTGGATTGAGGTGGGGTCGGTATGGTCATTGACACCCAAACATAATAGGCATTATATGAAAGATTGAGATATAAGCAGAAATAAGAGTGAACAGAGTTAGCATAACCACAACACACAACTTTATTTGGGCAAGATATATCAAAAAGCTTTTTTCTTGCACAAAGTCCCTAAATTTATGTTTACAAAAGAGAGCAACTTGCACGTTTACAGTCTATGAAAGTGAAAATTCACACCGAATGGTGAAAATTCCTAAACGCAGATGAACATCACAAACGCATGTTGACAGCAATGCAGATACAGGAACCCTCGCACTATTACAAGTTACAACCGGTAAACAGCCAAGTAATTCTAGATAATCCAGTCTGGATTGGTCGTGAATATTATCGATCTCAGCACCAACAGCAGCAGATGAACATACAGGCTAGAATAACGGGTTATGACATCAATGTCTGGTCAACATGACCTGGCATTACCTCTGCACCTGTCTAGACTCCTCTTCAGTTCTCATCAGTCTATCCAAGCAAGCAGACAACTGCTGACGAACCTCTGTAATAAACAACAATACCAACAATTAAAGACAACAAACCGCACATACCTCCATAATATAACTTGCATGAACTTGCTTATATAACAAGACTAGCTCCACGGCCCAGTCGATGTGTTACGTGACTTGTTTGGCATATACTAGGTCCATTCACAAATGAATGGTTAAATTAGAGTACACAGAGAAGATAAAGAGATTGTTACCGACACAAAGCTAACCCAGCACACACCTCTAAGCTCAGACAACAGTGCCAGTTGCCTCGCACTAGTGCCTGCAGCTTCATCTTCTTCATCCTCCTCCACTTCTTCCACATCTGCAACAGCTGCTGGCCGCGCTGCCTCCTCCAGCACGGTTGCCAGATAACCACTAGATGCAGCGCTATTCGGTGGGGAGGTCAGCCGCCGTGTCATCTCCTCAAGCCGACCACAGAGGCGTTCATGCCTTTCCTCTATACCTATGAATGTGTAATTCCATTATAAATTGTAACAAGAATCATGCACTTTTAACAGTGAAATAGTAAGTGTAAAACTATATATAATTGTGTGAACCTTGTGCTGAAGGAGGGCCGTTAGCCTTACAACGAAATAAAGTACGAATGCCATATTACTGGATTATCTATCTAAAAGAATACAGTCAAACTCAGGTTATGCCAAACACAAACATGAAAAATCTTTCTCATGAAACAAATTACTAATGTCAAGATTTTGGCACTTGTTAATCACTCAAAATCGTTTCTACTTAAACAATCCCTAACCGACTGACCAACCGACAGCCTGATCACCTAAAAATAGGCGACAATGCTGGAGGAAACTGTGAGTTTGTTGGGCTTGTAGCCCTGGCTTACTTTCGATTACGCGCGCTGGGATCTCTCGCACAGGGATGTTGTCGATGTTGCGGTTGTACAGGTTCTGCACGCGCTCCAGTATCACGGCGATGCGCTCTCGCAGATGTGCGCCTGCCTCGTTACGGTAGAAAGACAGACAATGCGAATGTCTCTCAAGTGCCCTCTGCAGTCTAGCAAGAGCTTCCAGTAGACAGCTGGGAAATGACTCCATGTTCTGCAGACTTACATCTGCATCGTTGACGATCTGCCTAGAGGGGTCACGCGTGCTTGCCAGCTGCGGCGGGCTGTAATATCGGGAGGGTACCGACACCCTGAGACCAGTCTGTCGCTGGTCTGAGGGTGCAGGGCTCAAGGTTGATAGACTATGCATGCCAACAGAGCAGGCACTAGTCACCGTCACATCTTGCTGACCGTTATCTTGCGACGACGACGACGGCTCAGCTGCTTGGATCATCCTGTCCGTGGTCGAACTCTGTGACAATGCAGGTGCATCCGACACGGCTAGCTGTGGTCGGGAACTAGACGGGGAGGATTCGGGTTCGTCTGCTGAAAGCGTAGAGGTGTCCGACACCGCCGCCATGTCACGAGATGCGGAGACGGTGGCGCTGCCATCCGGGGCTGCGATGTGAAACTTTTTAGCACCTTCTTGCTGCGACGGACCTGCTGTCGATGCGTCTTTACTAAACGCATTACAGTGTGATCTCTTAGCACCTCTTGGATGACCAGCACTGTGGCAGCCTTGTGCCCCAGACACACTCTGCTCTGTGCTTTGCATACCGGGTGTCAGCAGGCTACTGACACTCTGCGAACTACTGCTTGCAACAGAATCCATGTAGACTGTCGACTCCCGTGACGATCCTGGCTCATCGTCTAGTCTGCCGCCACACTGGTTGCACATTGTGTGCACATTTCCTGCCACGTGCCCTGAGCTGGTCGACGCCTGACTATAATCGTCGCTCTGTGTCCTTCTAGACTCCAACAGCCCGTGACCCTGTCTGTCTTGTGCTTGTAGCCGTGACAACACATCCTGCACCGCCCACGAGCGAATCACAGAGGAGACAAGCAGCCGCAGGTGGCTCTCCGATTGCCGATACTCAGCTACTGCCCTCGCAAGAGAACTAGAAAAGAAAACCGCGTAAACTATGTAAAAACGTGTAACTATGACGTTAGATGCTGATTAGATTCGCATTAAAGATTCCCACACATCTAGTCACAATTGATCGTCGATGGACACAAACACCTACGTAAGTGAATCAGTCATTAGAAATTTGTAACCTGTTTCTGCAACCTCTATCTACATAATCAGTTTACGCACACCTTTAGAAGACATGCCAGTAAAACATATTAGAACAGCATAAATGAGCCATAACTAGCGCTGAGAGGGTCTATGTCCCCCAGGGTACTGCTGGAACGTACCCTGGTACCAGAGCATATAAATCAACGTGATTTATATGCTCTGCTGGTACTATCTAATATGCCAGACCGTACCTCGCCTACTCCACTAACGAGTCTAAGGAGTCGCCTACGCCTACTCCCTAACCCTAACCCTAACCATATCAGATAGTTACCAGGATACGTTCCGGTATACCAGACCGTACCCATGGTACGTTCCGGCAGTACCCTGGGGGACATAGACCCTATCAGCATAACTAGCATGTGGTCGTAGAGACGTGCCCATACCCAGAGCGCTGTGAGCCAGATCTCTGTGTTTCTGCTGTGAGTTGCGATAGCCACATGCGACCGACAGTTGTCTCACTGTTTGTAGGCTCAGGTTGCAAGCGACTTGTGCTGCCACCTGGCTGCAGCTGACCTGGTCCAGCATCTTCCTCAGGGTTCTGAACGTGCTGCCTCAGGATCTCAGCAAACCTCACCCTGCTGAATGCACAATGTGCTGAACTGTTAGCACTTTGCGTAAGATACTATTCATTTGATTAATTTTCATGTTGAGAAGTCACAGCATTCTATTAATTCCCAAGTTACCTAGGTTAGGTTGACATAATAGCATCCTAAATAAAATCTATTATATGCATTGATTGAAATCTATATATTGCATGAAATGAAAAAAAAACTTGTAGGTGGCCAGCTCTTACAAAAGAACAGATGTGCATGTGCAATAGAACTAACTACTCCAATTTGCAAAACAGTGCATGTTATATATGGACACAGATATGACCAGCAAATGTAATAATAATGGTATCGCGTATCACCTCTGAGATGCCATTTCCTGCTGCATGTCCTCGTCCGAAGCTCTCAGCAGGTTTTCTAACTCACTGGTTCTATGTGGTGGTGCCACCTCAGCAGAGGATCGGCCGAGGGGCGCCGATATTCCCACCTGCCTCTGTACCACCGGCACACCAACCTGCCCCTCTGACGCCGATGCATCGGTCGGCTCATGTAATACTGGTTCACTAGCTTGCCCCTGTGCGTCTGGTACACTATTTTGCCCCTGTGACGGAATCGTGCTGATCTGCTCCTCTGTTCCTGTGCTCTCACTCTCAGGTTGACGTTCCCGCATGTCCAGGTACCTTGCCTGCTGGTGTCTAGGTATGTAGCGTAGTCTAAGAAATGATTAAAACATGTTAAATTATAAGATGCATGCATGTAAAATAATTTTTTTATAGTATATAGGATAAGATATTGAGGACTGATTCCATCCATGCACAACAAAAGGCAAAGTACGCAAAAAAAATTCTGCTTTAACATTTGGAAAACATTTGTGCGAATAATCAAACACTGAATTGCTCAGAAACGAAATCGTTTTATCAATGACAAACAAGTTATGTTATGCATTGAAATAAAAATGTTCCAACATTTTCCTTACCTAAGTAACTCCTAATTACCCATTTACAAAAGTTGTTATTGAGGCTAGAAGCCAATGTCTTCTATCACATTCATAATTTTGAACATAGGACCATTGAATATAACAAAAATCCCACAAGCAGGATAAAGAAAAAACACCATAAGCAACATAGACACATCACTTGACAGATCTACCGCTTTCAGCATTCAGGCATGTTTACGGCCAAAGTAATTTTCAAAGATTCGAGCACACCTGTGCAACTTTAGGGAATTTTGGTGGAACTAGGGATGCCGACCTGTGTACTTGGATATAGGAAATTCTGTGCAGACATAATATAGAGAACCTAATGTAATGTACTGGTATACCAGCTTTGAGAAATCTTCTGGCTGTAAAAACAAATTGTAAAGGGCCGCTTTACCGTGCATAGCGCATGCGGTTGCGCAGACCCTCCAGGATGCTCTCATGAACGCGCGTCCGCCGCTGGCTCTCATGACTCACATAGGAGGCATACTCGCGCGCGTCTTGCAAGGCATCCTCCTGTGTCGGCGAATGCCGCATTTCATCTGGATCGGCTCTACAACCAGATGCAAGATTTCACGTCAGAAGACAAACAGACCTGTTTTGTAGACTAACTTCCACTAATCAGGGTTACCCACCCTTTGAGCGCTCTGCCGAATCTTTAAACATCTAAAACGTAATAGGGCCTGCCACTTATAGCCTATTAAGCATTACCATGATTCACCATATTGCCGAATCTTTGCCGGCTCATTCGAGGCAACCATTTTAATAGCATGCTAATAAAGTTTATCTCAGTTATTAGCATGTGAACTATAGAGATCCGATGAAATTATTCAATCATTTTAATAGCAGTTTCGAAAAGCTACAGGATACCTAATACTGGGAGCGGGCTGGGATGTTTGTCCATAGATCTGATCTCTCCACTCTCTGTAGCGATCAGCAAAGTTACGGTAATGCTGCAGCAGTTCAGGAGTAATGGTCCTGCGACTGGCTATTGTTCTGCTCTGCTCAGACTCACTCCAGCTGGAATTAATAACAAGAATTTGTGTAACCAACATTTTCTAGATACAGGCACCAATAGAATTTAGTAACATAACCCTTTCCAACTCTTTCCCTATCCATCTTTTACTTCATCTGTTCTCCCCCTCCTCCCAACCTTCTGTGCCACTTCTACCTTCTCTCCTCTCTTAAACGCATTATTTTAACCAGTTTTCCGGACCGTTCTCATATTTTTCTGACCAGTACAATACTTACTGGTATTGCTTGTGTAACAGCAAGTGTCCAAAGTAAAGCTAACATGTGTCAGAACACTCGTTCATCGCTATTTTTTTTACAAAAATATACAACAATTGAAATCTGTTTGTTTCCAACCTGTTGACGCTATTACATGATGATGCCACTTGTTTCTCGCAAGACCCTGTCCCTGTACTTTTACATTTTAACTTTTATTACACTGTATTAAGCAATAGAGATGTTGTACCAATCTAGAACCACTACGTCACTCAATGATATGCAGTTTTGTCTGGTGGTTGCTGATTTCAAGGGAAATGCCGTGACACAACAGAACGTGGCTGCATTATTTGCCATTTTATATACCATAACAGCATGAACCCATGGTAATTTTAATACTGAAGTGATCAGTAACATGTTCGCTATTAGGTGAGACTATATTTCACTATAATTTTCCTCGTTTGTGCAGTTATTTATAAAACAATTCGTTAAAAGGCATAGCATTTAGCTACACTATTCCTACATACATGCAGTATGTAAATTTGTATGTATTCATTATATCAGAAGTCACTGAGTGGCATAATATAGAGAGTTATATTATTAAGAGCATATAAAGAAGGAGAGCGTACAACGGTGAAATGCTGAAACCATGTTGCAGTACTAGTCAAATTAATAAACTTTCCCCGTTTTATTTTGACTATTCTTTGATATATTATTGATCAGCTGTCCTACCTTGCTAATATAAAACAAACCGCATGTCCTTACGATTCCCCTATGCTGAGATAATGAGCGGTGAAAATGTGATATTCTCGCCGAAAACCGACTCGAGATCAATGTTTACTGAGACTGTCTCTCGCTTTGAGATAACTTCGGGAAACCTCGCGTGTTTCCGTCAATGATTGACAAATGGAATGAATAACGTCTGTTATTGATTGCCATAGTGATGACCCCCCACCTGTGCCCACCTCACGCTGGATGTATAGTAATCTTTGTAGTACTGACGTGAGTCAGCGCTACCATGGCGCTACACAGCAGCGACCAGAAGCAATACACTGGCCACAAAGCGAGAGACAGTTGCAGTAAACACTGATTTCGAGTCGGTTTTCGGCAAAAATACCAGATTTTCACCGCTCATTATCTCCGCGTAGGCGCATCGTAGGGACAAGCGGTTTGTTTTAGGACAGCTGATCAATAATACCGTCAAAGAATCGTCAAAATAAAACGGGCAAAGTTTCTTAATTCGACTAATACTGCAACATGGTTTCACCATTTCACCGTTGTACGTTCTCTTTCTTTATATGCTCTTGATATTATGCCACACCTGATGACATTACATCAGTTACTCTATTATCATCATCATACCAATAGCCCACTTGAATGATGTGATTAAGGTTTTGGTGATGTTGAGCTACATAACCAAGTAAGGACACAAAAAACGTTGGTAGTTTTTTTTCAAAATCCTACTCACATGCCACTATCTTGCATGTTTGAAATTTCCAATGTGACCTAAACTGGTTCACTAAAGTTGCTTTCCTATCAGAGCATAAATTAATCACAAAGATGATTAACCTGGAACACTATTATTAACCCGATACAAGAAATCTTCTCAGAACTTTAAATTAATAGCATTTGTAGAAAACTCATAGTAATCGGGGCTGCTATAGTACAGTCCATTTTGGAATCATTGCACAATGCCTTTTTTCACATCAATGGTAGATAACTATAAATACCTTTGCCCGGCATATCTGTGTGGAGCTTCCCTATCACTAGAGTAGTCACCTGTCTGTACACTAGGAGGATTCGATATGCCAGTAAACAGAAAATGGCCAAGTGGGTCAAACTTGACAAACCTGGAATTAAAGAGAAATAGTACATAGCTAATTTTGAACTGTAATTAATAATTTGTCATTATTAACCCTTGATATGTATATATATATATAGTTTATGTGCTCTTGATATTATAGAAACTTGAATATCACAAGTTCAGTTCGGGTGTATGAATTCAGAATCTATACCAGTCCCACATGCCAAAGGCACTTTAGGCCAGAATGAAACTTTCGATTTCAAATAGTTTTTTTTGCTGATCCATACTTATTAATAAGCTCTTAAAACAACTAATTAGTAAAATTTCCAGTTGCCTCAAGGGTGCGAGAATTTGGGCAAGCATTACAGCTAAAACGTCAACCATGCTGAATTTAAACTCTGTGTTTAACAACTTAAACATCACATATGAAATCAGTGATACACACCTAATTTTCTCTCTTTCAGTGGCTGTCTTACAACTGGCAAAAGGTCTTGGTTCAGTCCAGTTCCAGAAAAACAATTCATTAAAAGTAGCAATGACAAGCACATGGTCAGTGGGGTGGAATGCCAGTGAAGCAATAGCTGTACCATAGTCTGACTCCCAGGTTTCACTGCCACCCTACAATGAACAAATTTCACAAAATATGGTATTTCTAACTTGGGCCTTTGATGATGAATAAAACAAAAAATACAATTATTTTCTATTGATTACCTGTTGTAGTTGCTTCTTTCATCATAGTGATTCATTCATTCATGATTATTAATAATTTTAATTATTAATATACAGTGATAATACCAGTAAACATGGAGCTACTAACAGTGCTTGATAAATGTGCACAAGTTTTCTTCGTTAACTTATAGTTTTTGCAATTTACAAAATTAGATTTGTTGTTATTTCAATTTATTATTATATGCATTTTGTAAGTATTTATAGAGATAAAACACCAATAGCACAAGATAATCATACATGTTGCTATGTTGCACTTTTTAAGAGAAATGAAACATTAGCTTAAATATACTTACATGCAGGTCCCACACTTTGACCACACCACTTAGGCATCCAGATGCTAAAATCTCATTTGAGGAAGGATGAAATGCTAAGCACCATGGTGTTCGGGGATGGCCCATTAATGATTTAGTGCATTGTCCTGTTCTTAGATCAGTCACGTGAACATTGTGGTCACCATGTGTAGATGCCATCTTAGTTCTAAATGTTGTAAGAAAAATACTAAATGTAGATATATATAAGGTATACTGGAGGCACTTATCCATAAATTTATACTTAGCCACTACGGAATGCACAAGTAATTTCTGTGTATTTCAATAGAAAGTTTTTACATTAATAAGTTAGATTAACTGCTGTAAATAAATTTAAATTCCGTTATAAGATCAATCTCCATACCCATCAGGGCTGAAAGCCATCAAAAATGTCGTTTTGGGGTAGCCTGGGATAGTGCATCCTTGATTGTTAAACTCTGAGCAGCTAGCCATATGTTCTTCAGCTAGTAGATCTAGCCTTGGTTGCAAAACAGATTGGTATCCCCCACCACGTTCACGCTGCTGTAGACACAATACGACATTCTGATCTTGGAACTGCATTGTGTTAGTCCACCTTTATGTTCCCATATAGAGATGTGCATAAAGTGAACTTTTCCTGTGTGTAGACCTAATCTAAACATAAACAATAAAAATGTTACAATAGTATTACAATGAAGAATACTTATAAACAACTAACGATAACTAAAGCAAAATTATTCACACATTACGTGAAAATAACATTTTCTTTTTTAAAGTAACAAACCTACTGGACTATTTACAAGTTTACTCTTGGCTAGAGCATACCACCAGTCAACCTGCACAGCCAGGAGTATTGTGTGTGCCCAAGGCCCTGCAGCACTTCTATACAATGCAATGCTGTAAACCACCTGATCATATACTGACATGTGACATTTGAATTGCTTGTGGATAAACTCATAATGGCACAGTAGGTAAGAGAAGTAAGAGAAAATTCCCAATTTCAAGGTCTTTGTTGTTACCAAAAATAATTACTCTGTGGGGTAGGCATTATAATTACTGTGAAAGGCTATAAATCTCTACAAATATAAGTGACCATGACTTAACAAGTACTTAACCATGACTTAATCATCGGCCATGTAACTGGGATGCTACAACACAAACACGGCATATTGCTTACAGAAATGCAAGCACGTATCACGTTTTTCGAAAACATAGGTGAGCCAACGTTCATACCGACATGTTTTTGAAATGAAGTAAAAGCCAAACTTACGTTCATAGGGTCTATGTCCCCCAGGGTACTGCCGGAACGTACCCTGGTAACTATCTACTGATCTAGCTGATATGGTTAGGGCTAGGGTTAGGGTTAGGGTTAGAGAGTAGGCGTAGGCGACTCCCTAGACTCGTTAGTGGAGTAGGCGAGGTACGGTCCGGCATATTAGATAGTAGTATTTAGTGCCAGGGTACGTTCCGGTATACCGGACCGTACCCAGGGTACCGGTACGTTCTGGCAGTACCCGTAGGAGTAGGCGTAGGCGACTCCCTAGACTCGTTAGTGGAGTAGGCGAGGTACGGTCTGGCATATTAGATAGTAGTATTTAGTACCAGGGTACATTCCGGTATACCGGACCGTACCCAGGGTACCGGTACGTTCCGGCAGTAACCTGAGGGACATAGACCCTATCAGCCAAACTTACGGTAAGAATCCAAAAATGTGTTACCTCCCGTTATGTTTAATGTTACATTATTACAGCCTACACACACAGGCTAGACTCTACACAAAGCCCTGCCCAATCATTGTTTAGCACCCTGAATTAGTTTAGCACATGTGCGAAAACAGATTTGCGGTTCCTAAGCTAGGATTGTGCAACACTGCCAACAGGCCCTTGCCATGGCCCGGGTAAGCCAGTCAAAGAGTTAGGAGACATCAGCACGCCACCATAATATAGCATAGCATAGCTCATAAGGTCTATGTCCCCCAGGGTACTGCCGGAACCTAACCTGGGTACGGTCCGGTATACCGGAACATACCCAGGTAACTATTTGATATGGTTAAGGTTAGGGTTAGGGTTAGGGAGTAGGCATAGGCGACTCCCTAGACTCGTTAGTGGAGTAGGTGAGGTACTGTCCGGCATATTAGATAGTACCAAGGTACATTCCGGTATACCGAACCGTACCCAGGGTACGTTCCGGCAGTACCCTGGGGGACATAGACCCTCTCAGCCATAGCTCTAGTACTATAGACCGCGTACAGTTGCCGCAGGGCTATAGAACGTAATATGGCAATTTCCAGTGAGTAAGCAAAGACAACTTTTTGCCGATAATAACTTCTTCGGTATGCCAAATAAAACGAATTCTCTGCCAGACAAATGTCTTAAGTTACTACAAACACTAAAATGAAAAGACAAACTAACGATTAAACATTGTACTTGCGATATTACTCGTCGACGAAGATTGTTTATCAACTTGTACCCGCCATTTCTTGTTGCGCAGCGCTCGCGCGGTTCCGGCGCTAGTGAGCGGGCACAATGTATTTCCAAGTGGAGGGGTGGGCAGGTTGCACGCGGTTGCAAACCGCGCTAGCGCTGCGCAATGAAAAATGGCGGTTAAATCTACGTGCAACCTGCCCACCCCTCTACTTGGAAATACATTGTGCCCGCTCACTAGCGCCGGAACCGCGCGAGCGCTGCGCAACGAGAAATGGCGGTGACAAGTTGTAAACAATCTTCTTCGACGAGTAATATCGCAAGTACAATATTTAATCGTTAGTTTGTCTTTTCATTTTAGTGTTTGTAGTAACTTAAGACATTTCTCCGGCAGAGAATGTGTTTTATTTGGCATACCGAAGAAGTTATTATCGGCAAAAAGTTGTCTTTGCTTACTCACTGGAAATTGCCATATTACGTTCTATAGCCCTGCGGCAACTGTACGCGGGCTATAGCACTAGAGCTATATCTCAGCAATAACATAGCCATAGCCATAGGTCACAGGCACTTGAAACGTCTCAATAAAAAAAATAATGGTAAATAAACACGAAATGTATTTACTACCAGTCTTAATGTTTCTCTACTCTATTTCGCCTATAATCACCGGTAACTGCCGGTCAAATCACAGGCACTTGGACCGTTTCAATAATAAAATGATGGTTAATAAATACAACTTGTCAGTAGCCTACTACTACAGTACCAGCAATAGTCTTAATGTTTGATTTGACCTAATAACTTCACTTCAACCCCGTTCAATACACCGATGCAACACATAGCCCGCACGCCATTGTGCATGCACAGATACATGCAGTAGATAGGAGCTAGGCATTTCTGTGAACACGCTTTCTTACCTTCTCCTATCTACTGTGTATTTGTGCATGCACAATGGCGTGCGGGCTATGTGTTGCAGCGGTGTATTGAACGGGGTTGAAGTGAAGTTATTAGGTCAAATCAAACATTAAGACTGGTACTGTAGTAGTAGGCTACTGACAAGTTGTATTTATTAACCATCATTTTATTATTGAAACGGTCCAAGTGCCTGTGGGTCAAATGCTCATCTGCAAGTTCTCTTATTCATGTTGTTTGTGCACAGCGCGGGCGTGCGGTCTACTTGCGTGTTGCAGATGAGCATTTGACTGGGATTTACAGGTGATTATAGGCGAAATAGAGTAGAGAAACATTAAGACTTTGGTAGGAAATACATTTCGTGTTTATTTACCTTTTTTTATTGAGACGTTCCAAGTGCCTGTGCCTGTGGCTGTGCATAGCCATAGCATAGGTTAGATGGATTGGTGTCCCGGTAACAGTGTAAACACGATAACATTTTTCAGTGACTACGTATGGAGAATAACGTTTACGAGATTATTAATGGACACATGACTTTTATGAGATTAACCATCATTACTATTAGTATTACTATTAGACCATTACACCTATAATATCAATTAATGAATTATCATGTTCCGAGGACAATTTGCGTTCACAAGGGCAGATACAAATTATTACAATAATACAGAAAGGTCAATGTGTAGAGGCATAATCAACAAGAAAGTATTCAATATAATTATATAACACATGCACCTTCTAATAGCTGACCTAATAAACAACTCGACATTCCCTAATACGGAACAATAATACAACAATAGTGATAACCCTTACATTTATTTATAAACAAGTTTCCTAGATGTGAACATGGCGACATTAGGCGCGCCATCTATCGTCCTGTTCATAATACGTCATTTCGATTATTTTGGTCTGCTTTGCATTGTTATTCTGATTTCGATTCTTGAGCGCTAGATTAACACTGGCACTGCTCTTTCATGAATTAGAATAAAAGATTCCATTACATTTTTAACGAATAGGTAAATTAAAAAGCCAATGGCGTTCTTTAATGATATTAGTGTTATCATGTGCGTGTTGCTTGCTGTGCAGATGAAGGCAAACGGCTTTAGCCAAGGCATACAGAGAAGAGATCGGGGAGTTGTTCCTTTATTTCGTTGGGCTAGGGGATTGACCATTCCCGGCTTCGTGTAAGTAAGGCATAATCATTTGGCATTTACATTGGTGAGCAGGTTGTACTAATCTAACTGTTAGCCAAATTAATGTGGCAGTGCACAAATGTCAAATGTTTATCGGTGACTTTTTATGACTTTTATATACTTATAGAGTAGATGAACATGAGATTCTCACTGACATTGGATTGCTACAGGCATCGCCACAAACGGTCGAGTCACTTTATACTTTTGTCTTTAATAATGGCAAAACCTACCCAAAACCAGAATACCACCCATGGATTAGGCCGCCACCTCCAAGTAAGTCACGAAAGACGTAGGTTAATTACTAAGAGTTACATCAAAATGACGAATGATAATTAAGAATGTCACTGGGTCTGTGCCTGTGGTAGGTGACGGTGATATTTACATTAGATTAGATGAGATGAGATGAGATTACATTAGATTAGATATTTAGAGTGAAAACTAAGGAATCACTACCATCACATTTTACACGTGTTGTATGCATGATTGATGAAAAGTGAAGTAAACTAATAAACCTTTGTTTGTTTCTTTTAGCTGAACCGTACACTGACAAGATGATGTACAATAACGATGCTTGTGATAAGCGATCAAGTAATCTGCATTATCGTACCGAATATATGTACCAAGACAACAGAATTAGATTTGCGCCTGCAGTTAGAGGAGGCTCATATATGTTCTTCCCCGGGAAACTCTCAAAAATACCTCAGGGGTTGAATAAGCACCATAGCATCCAGTTTACATCAGTGGTGCCATATGCAGTGTATGGACTTCAGTTTGAGGTATATATATAGTTTGTATAGAACAAATTTCAAATACATTTAAATCAAGCCATATTAATTGCAGAGTTTTATACGTGGTCATTTAACCTAGCAACGAAGTTACATTGGCAAAAAGGTGGTCTGATACAAAGAATTGATCAGCAATCACAATACGGCACAGAGAATAAAAATCTTTTATAAACGATGTCACATATATATATAATCTTATATGATCAAAATTTGTGTCACGTGTAAATGAGCCATAGTTGAAAACCGGTCAAGTAGGTACATTTTATTGGCTAGGTTAAGCACTTGATGACAGACCAGATGTTGGTGTGCACCTTGGCGTAATGATGTAAACAAAATTTCATGGCACCATGGCGTAAAACATTGTTTCAGTATTTACTAGAATTATTTAAAGTTTAAATGTGAATATCAGACAACAAAGATATGGAGATTATATACTATTTTTTATGAAATAAGTATCATAATATATTCTCAGGTGCTAGAATACTACATTATTTTATCATTTTACATAAGATAAAAATAGTGATTCAAATTGTTTCAGAGCATTCCTTTCATAAAAGAAAAATATGGCATAACCAAGATCCGTGTAGCCATACAAAATAAGCATGGGGCCTGGAATGACATCACTAACAGTAATGGAATGGCAATGGTAATTAAGTTCTGATAATTCGGTTTATAAAATTCTTAATTACAATAATGTCAAAATAGTCGAGCAGCCATATATTAATTTAACATCTCACAATATTTGTTATGGGATTTTTTTTAGATGTTTGATCTGGAAGGTCCAAGTGAAGGAAAAGTCGAATTCCCAACCCCGGTAATAGCCATGGCAGTACGTATCTATCCAATGTATTGGAAGGGCTATCCACTCCTGAAGGCAAAGCTTCTTGTGTGCTGAATTATATAGAAACTAAACCATCTGCTATAAACACTATTTACTTTTTGTTATAAATAACATTAAATTAATATTTATAACCCAAGCATCACATTACCATAGACAACCCTTCGGCACAATCACAAAACGAGATTGGCATTTTAGATGTAGATTTCTATTACTTGTCCATGTTTGCTAACCCTGCATAAGATAACAACTTGCTGTAGCTGCTAAGTGAAGTGACCCATATTGGCCGTTTATCATTGGTGGGTAGAGCTCTAGCCCAAACGGAATAAATCTATGAGCATCTAAATGCCACTTCCTGTTCCTTCAAAGTCAAATGTATGTGTAATTACAGTTTGAATTGTATAAAAAAAAATTCCAACAGCTTATTGTTATTAAAATTTATTTTGTGTTTAAACTATCAAGTTTCGGGTAGATCGGAAATTGTGGGCATATAGTCAAGACTACTGTGACGGCGTCACCGTAAATAGTAAAAAATAAAAAATATATTTCCACTTTTTCACAAAATATAAGTAATTCTGTTTACATTTTATGGTTAAATTGCTGCATTATACTTCCTATTTTACTATATTGTTCGATGTGAACATACACTCGTGACCCATACATCGCCCATAGCAAGCAATTAATGTTAGACAACATTAATTCAAATCGTCCAGGTTTTTTGGAATTTTTAACTAGTTGAGAAACAATCTTGTCAGGTAAGAATTTGACGATTTGTTTAGTCCCGTTAGTTCTTACTTTTAATGTAAAAAAATGGGCATTTTTTTTTACAAATTTTACCATAGAAAATTCGTGACGTAATCCCTTTAAAGTGATAGCAAAATAATAAATTTCTAACAATCATATGTAAAAATTACTAAAGTACAATCTTTAAATCAGATACCAGATAATTTTATTCTCCATAAATCAACAGATGTACATGTATACATGCAATGCAATGTAGTGAATGTTGCTTACAAAGCTTGTAAGTACACAATATACACTTTAAACGCTGTCCTAATACGAGTTCTATAGTAGGTCTACAACATCTGTAAATTTGAGAGAAGTGCTAGCTCCAAAGTTTCTATAGCAGAATCATTTACCTTCTACCAGACCGAATTTATATTACATAATGACACTACATCAAGATGCAGCATAGGGCAGAAAATCATTCACGTATACCATAAAGAAAAGTAAATTTCAGTGTAAGAGTATAATGCAGGATGGACACTGAGAACAATACTCCTCACAGCTCCATACAGAAAACAACAAAGCAACCACAAGCATTAAATACAACTTGTATGCATACACACGTTCACAAGCAATATACATTACCCAACTGCTCCACTTTTTGGACAATACCTTGGCCAAAAAAGCATGCATTTAAAGTAATCGTCTGTACACTACATCTTACCGCGCCTACTGCAATATACCTAGTCAATACGATTAAGATAAGTGCTGGTACATATAACAACTATCAAAATAGACCCTCAATGTGTTTAATGGTACTCAGCAACTCTGAGCATGTTAACAATTTTCTCCGTGATTGCCTAAAATATAGTAACACCAATTACATACGGCCTTTAAATAGCATTTGGTATGGGTTCCACATTTTACTATAGATATATATTATTCGCCATATGCTATATGTAATGGATACACGTGAACATAATCTTATACTGAGCATAATAACTGTTTGGTTTCATCTAATCGAAATAATAAACAAAAACATGAATACAAATATCTGAATATGACAAACCAAACCAACAAACTTAGTACTGAAGTTGGTGCCCGTGCAGCAAGAACCATACCTAAACATTTTTGTCTCATGGTCTTCAGACAGATTGTCTTGCATTGTATAGTTCATACAATTTTAACATTAATACAGACCTATATAATACAAGGCCATCTCGTCATGACCCTCACACACAACTCCGTACATAGCAAACATATCAGTTTTCACAATACAAGGTACCTATACTGTTATACTATTATTTGCATTTAAAAATATTTGACATGCAGGCACTCGGCAGATTTTATTGGCACTAATATAATAAAAAGATTTTTCTAATAACAAAATCCTAACGTAAATCGTATTTTAAATGTCAAAAGCACTCGGGACACTCAGATGAGATTCAAACTACTACTCGAGTGGCGTGTGTGTGCAACAAATGTACTTCCCCCTTGTGGTTGGGTTATAAATACTATGATATCCGAAGTATCATTATTGAGTCAGCTCAAACACATAGCGTTTTTTAGACAGGACCATACGTGATATGTGTGAGAGCTAGGTAATGATTGTTGCTGCAGCCATGAATTCTGCTCTGTAGTGTGCATGTTAAATTAGATTGTCACCAATGCCCCGAGTCACACCAGTTTCAAATAAATTATATGTGGTGAACATGTGCCCTCTATGAAGCACAGATGCACAACTATTCTACAAGCACTTCAGCCTATAACTCACTTCGGCAGAGGTGCTGTTCAAACAGTGACATCTAGCGATGATACTCCCTCCACACATTAAATACGAATCAGCCTGACAAAATGTGGTGTATATCATTGGGCGTTTTAAGCTGTTGAAGCATGCCGAGTTTTGCTCGAATGAAGTGTTTGAGAAGTGTTCATCAGTTCCAAAATACTGTGAACTATCTCATAATTGTCATAGGTATAAATATTGTAAGCAGCTTGAAACCTGCACATGCATGTATGCAGTAGCTGCAAGAATTGTATATTTTTCTTAACACTAGCAGTGCCATTTTTCTACACAACCATCTATCTTTCACCCATCTAAATTTTGACATTACCAAATCCAGGAAATCTCTATTACATCTTCACCGAAAACAAAGAAACCTTGGGGCTAGTACGTGGGACCCAATACAGTTTCAGCTTGGCATGGGAAAGAAGAAATAATACTGTACTTGGTCAATAGCAATAGTCAGTCCAAGCATGTAGGAGCTCGTGAAACTAGCGTTGCTCTTATGGGTGGTTGATAAGCTGCTCCCGTAGCACGCACACGTTTCAACTGCTTACTTTCCATTGATGATAGTATCGAGATGGGACTGGATGTTGGAGAAGGCATCTGCGCCTAAGTAATCCACTTGGCCGTGCTCCCATGCTTCCCTATCTGGCTCTCCAGAGTGTTGCGCAGACGACAAGCCCGTGTCCTCACTCAGATTAAGATGAGACAGCCCGCTTTCAACCGGTGCCTGTAGTAAAAGATGTGCACAACGTGTATGAATATGTAGCTGATGCGGTTGAGTTTGTGGTGTTACATTCATATTGCAGGTGGTTAAAGTGATTACGTCACGAATTTCTAGCACCATCAAGTAGTATATTTGTGTGTTATTTGTACAAAATAAAATGTATGAAAATACAATTAGTGTTTCTGTTTACTTTTCATGCTTATATACCTTCTTTATATGCCCTAACTTGCCGGTGAAAAACAGAGAGACGCCAGTATCTGAACAGTACTGGGGGAATAGTGTTAGACAACAGAAATTACCAAATCATCTAGATTTTTGCAAATTTAACCAACGTAAAAACATTTTTATCAGGTGAGAGTTTGAGGATATATTTAGTAACGTTAGTTCTTACTTTTAATGTAAAAAAATAGAATTTTTTTTATACAAATTTTACCATGGAAAATTCGTGACGTAGTCAATTTAAGTGCACATCTATACATGCATGTGTATATGCACTTTGCACGTGTCCGGCCCTGCTTGTGTTATTTGTCTAATATGTGGTTAACTCCACGTAAAACTATGGTCTGCTATACTCCTAACCTCCACCATAAAAAGGTACCCAGTTATCAAGCACAATTGAACAAATTTGTCATCTAGTCAAGTAGGAACAGGATGTAACATATAGTAGCTACCTCAATATGCTGTTCTGATGTCTGGATTTTCACGGTTTCATGCACCAAAGACAACACAAAACAGAAGTTAGTATGACAAATTAGGTGTTACGTGCAACAGTGAACAATTGCTTCTCATATGTTTCAAGAGACTATGACTGTAACACTAACATTATTAAAACTAAATCTAAATATGATGTTTGTATATAGCATGAACATCTAAACTGAAACAAGCAAGTACAGCAGCGTTAGTGTAAGCAGCATAAACTTGAGACGAGTCTGTGACAGTAAGAAAATAAAGCCAAAAACATTGGTGTATGTAATAGAACATTCAATGCATCATGCAAAAAAGCATCAAACCCAATAAATTCGTAGTATTTTCGTCATTGATATTAACAAAAACCTTTACCTTAGCAGCGATGCATACTTTGGAAAATTTCCAACAAAAATTCAAACATTAGTTTTTTTTAGTAAAATGATAACCTTGCCTGTATTGGGCTTTAGCTACTAGTTACATTCTTACACCAGTCAGGTCTGTATTTTCATAGATTTATGAAAGAAAGACAGTGCATAGGTGACACATGCAGTACTGTCGATAGTTTAACCAATTGATTAGTCTTAAATTATAGAAAAGAAAAAAATCCCTTTTTTATTGCAAAAGATTACAGAATGCTGTTACAAATTGGCAGCTTACTATATGTTTGTGATAGGATAGGATAGAATAGAATAAGATAGATAGATAGACAGACCGACAGATACACAGATAGATAAATAGATGGATAGCTAGATAGATGGATGGATGACCAGGATAGGATAGGATAGGATAAGATCAGAAATGTATAATAATAGAGGAGTATGACTCGGTCTAAACACAAGAAATTCAACATTTTCATGCCCTAATTTACCTATGATTTATTACGTGAAACCCAATAAAAATGAAATCGTAACTAGCATTGTACATCCAACTTGTCCTTACACTTTACTTTGTATCGATACCTCTTCTTATTATGTAGTTATAGCTTCGAACGTAAGACATGGTTTTAGTCATTGACATGGTCAATTGGTAATAGTTTCCTCGCAATTGTGCGAACAAGAGACAGCTCGCTCTGCGACTCCTGTTGGCAGGCTTCGGCAGAGATTTGCAACTCGCAAATTCTCGCGAGATCACATTGTAAAAACTTCAAAATGTCGACAAAACGAAAGCTTATTACGAATTATTTTATAATAACTGTATCAGTATGTCATACGACATCTGTTTATCTGCACACGCAGCCGTGGCACGGGCCAGCGGTCAGCGGCACGAGACAGAGCCAGCGGTCAGAGCCCCCTACTAATTTGCGAGTTGCAAATCCCTGCCGAACCCCGCCAACAGCGTTATCACCGCGAGTAGCTCTAGTAACTATAACCCGCGTACGGTTGCCGCTGGGCTATAGGACCAGCCATTAGGGATGCGCGGGACCAACTTACTCACACTTATTCGTGACTATAAAACGTCTGTGGTAGGCAATTAAAGGAATCGTTTACTCTAGGTTCTAGGGTTATTTTCAGTTAATTTAGGTTAAAATTACGCTACATAAAAAGTTTCATGGTTCAATCACCATTAGAAATATTAGTAAAAAATGTTTTAAAACTAACGACTAGTTTGATTACAACGACGGTGGCGCCACTCAAAACGCACGATCTGATAAGTTGTGTAATACCACTTTTCAGCCAAGGGCTACAGACCGAGGGTGTTTCTTATTTATTAATTTAAAAGCAAAAGGATTGTAATATCTTATAAACGACATATAGTTTCAGTAATATTATCGATAAATTTGTCCTAAAATGAACATCGTTCGGTTAAATAGCATTTAGGTGTAAATATAATTTCACCTTTGTGATTAGCCCTCGTTCTGTAACGTGCAAAATAAATTGGCAAATGTGCAACTTTTTCAGGGTGGCAGCACGGTCGCAAATGTCAATGGCGCCGTTCAAATTTCGTAGCGTTGATGTATAATTAATTGTAACAATTAAATTAGGTATCTGGTAACAAGTACGTGTGGGTATCGACAATTTGTTATACAGTAAGTACAGTACAGTTGTATGCAGTAAAATCCTAGAGTCTACTATCCCTTTAATGCCTCTTATCCGAAGTGAATATGTCTCAAGTTATATCAGCTACTAAAATTTAACCTCTAACTATCGTTGCAATGGTATACTTGCGGTATTTCTTGTGAACGAACATTCGATTTGCGAACTTCAAACGGCCATTTTTGGCAGCGCTGCAGCAGCGCCAACTATGTATTTCCGCACGTGGAGGGGTGGGCGGGTTTGGTGGAATGGTTGTGGACAAAAACATTGTTGTTGTCAAGTCACAAATTAAGCAATCAAAAAATATTGTAATATTAGTTTTGTCATGAAAGATGAACAAATTACTATTATTAATTTGTTACTTGACAACAACAATGTTTTTGTCCACAACCAACACAACCCGCCCACCCCTCCACGTGCGGAAATACATAGTTCCCGCTGACTGGCTGGAGTAAGTTGGTCCCGAGCATTCGTAATGGCTGATCCTATATAGCCCAGCGGCAACCGTACGCAGGCTATAGTCACTAGAGCTACACCGCGAGCTGCAGATTGTTTACTTGCATCGAACGGAAACGAGGGCAACTTGACTAGGTGAATGACTAAAACCATGTCTGACGTTCAAAGCTATAACTACATAACAATGAGAGGTATCGATACAAATTAAAGTGTGAGGGCAAGTTGGATGTACAACGCTAGTTCTGATGTCATGTTTATTGGGTTACGCGTGATAAAAATCATAGGTAAATTAAGGCATGGAAATGTTGAATTTCTTGTGTTTCGAGCGAGTCGTACCCCTCAATTATTATACACTCCTGATAGAATAGGATAGGATAGGATAGTGCATTACCCAAGCTCTACCATTTTGATATCCTACTTCTGCTAAGAAAGCAAGGAATGGGATTGTCTAGACAGTAATTTAAGTATTTTGAGAAGAACATGTTTCTTGTAGCTTTCCTTAGGTTTATTTAAAAATTTACTTTTACATTTTTTTTACTTTGCTTTTTAAATTAGCAAAGTTTGTTAATTTTCATTTGATGATTACATATCAATAATATTGGGCACTCACCACTCGACTGTCTTCAGAAATACATTGTTCAACCTACACATACAAAGATAGGTTACAAAAATGCAAGCAATGCAATCAGACATCACATGGAAACAGTTTGATTACAATCAAGCTGTTAATACATACACGTATGCAATAACATGAAGATTAACAACTGTGATAGATGTATGCACAACCCAAACATAACTCAAGCAGTTAATACATGTATGCAAATGCAGTTAGATTAATATCTGTAAGGGAGTACAATCTGGCAGCTAGGTTAGTTGCACATTGGCTATACGTAAATTATGAAACATTTCACGTGCACCAACTGCCGACAATGTACACATTCAGAAATCTAATGTAGTAATATCACTGTTCTAAAACTTTACGTAGCCAGCCCTCCGTTTTTAGAAAGTTAGAACCATGAGGCTATAAATCACACATGCGCTATCAATCGTAAACATTTAGCACAGGAATTTCAGCTTGTTGGCCATAACCCATGAGTACTTCACTTAGTCTGCAGCACGTGCCAACTATAATTTTACCCATCTGCACACCTAGAGTCCTAGACCTGCTCTGCTGAGCTTACTTTTCAGATGCCTCTTTTACGGTGCAGTCACTGCAATGATTCACTAGCAAGTAATTCCTCTGTGTACACAGATCATCCGGTTCATTCATTTCATGCAACAATTCGTGTGGCATAACATTAACAATACTTACGACCCAGGGATCCAGTTTTGGCTGTACGTGACAGGCAAACACGTTCCACCACTGCTGCAGAAGCTCCCCCGCATAAGCGCCATCTGAATGCTCTACGTTTTTGCTCTGGGCATTGAACCTGGAACACAAAGCATGTACAGCCACTGACCCACCAAACATCCTTATTGTTAACTCACAACTCACAAGAGCAATAAGCATACACTCATGCCATGCAAGCGTCAACAAACACGGCTTCATAATGAGAGGCGTGTGTGCTCTGTGCGCGGTGGAAAGCCCCTTTTGGAAGTAAAACGTTTGACACATTGTTTAGTTTAATTTAGGCCCTACATGTAAAGGTCATAGCCAAATGGGCCACCTCAGTAAAGCATGAAAGATATATAAATATATTACGTGGGACGGTTATAATTATTATGATACGGCAATATGTGATTTGTAGGTATGCCAGTAAATAACATTACTAATCTATGGATAAAACTGTTCTTAACTATCACTTCAGCAGATTTAATAGGTATTCTAATTAAAAGAAATTACAAGCTTCTAATAAAACAATGATAATGGATCGGGATCTAAATAAAGTCAATTGCCATGCAGCAACCACATAAATTCGTCTGCAAGCCGGTTTTAGGCACTGGTCACTGTACAACCTTGAACCATGAGCGGGAAACGAAACATTGTGGACAGTCGTTTCAAGCAGAGCAAGGAATTTCAGGAATCTTTAGGATCCTTTACAATTACTCACAACTGTCTACTAAAGCTGTGCACGTAGGCAGTCTCTACTGTACTCTGTGTCAACCTAGTTTTCCACTCGAGGTGAAGTTGTCATCAAACAATGCAGACGAAAAATGAAATAACTAAGGAATCAAGGAAACTACAACTTCTTCCACAACTTCTGTTCAGAAATGTGTGATTTAAATCTGATAGACAAGGAATATGCCGTCATTTAGCTATGAATCATACCGTTGGCATTCATAACTATCTTTATAACTAACATCGCAAACTTGAATGTTTAACGTAATACATCAAATAGCCCAGCTATTACCTATCCGTGGGAATTATACATTTCACTCTTGCTTTTGGATCTCTCAAAATTCTCAAATTCAGTAATCTTCCATTATTACAGATTCACTATTATAAACCATTGCAACTTAAAGGCTCACAATGCGCATCCAAACGCTAATTTCTCCAGTACTAGACTAGCAAATACTTCGTGTCATGCATAATCATACTACCTTATGGCAAAATAAACTCTAGTTCCTCCCATTTCACTGCGCGTTGTCTTATAAAAGGTATTTTGAAAATACCTCCAATGTTGTTGACAGTTTCCCCAATCTCCAAGCAACCGTGCAGCGGTGCCGCGGTACAGCGGTACGGGCGCAGCAAAGATAAAAACATGTGACGTCACGTCACCACTTCGATGTTATGTTGTTTGAAACAATTTAGCGTTGGCGCCTGATTACCTGATTTCGCACCTCTTTCTTGTTGGGAACGCGCAGTCAAATGGGAGGAACTAGAGTTTATTTTGTCATAAGGTAGTGTGATTATGCATGACACGAAGTATTTGCTAGTCTAGTACTGGAGAAATTAGCGTTTGGATGCGCATTGTGCGGCTTTAACTAAATGACATAGCAGATGTGCCACGGGGTACATTGCATGTGCACACAAGGGATGGGGCATGGCAAGCAATAACGTGACTGAGCACAGAAACAATAAAATATCACAAGCTCATCATTAAGGCCAGTTTTACCACGAATCCTATTAAACATTGTTACCAAGTGCAACATATCTGCCTCCTATACACATGCGATGCATTAATTACCTGCAAATTTTAAAAATATATTTTAGAATGCGTGACAGCTTGTGTCCATACCGTCCACGTGTAGAAGATCCATTTGTGTTGTACTCGCAGCAGTATAAATAGGAAATGAGACGACTAGCAGACTGATCCATACAAATGATAAAATAGTGCCCCATAACCACCAGCACAAATGCATATCGGCCTATCGTCGTCCAAAGCAAACTGACTAATTATAATAGTAGATGCAATGTTCGTTCATCAGTGTCTAGCAGGTGATGCAGCTATAAATATTCATTAGTACAACTTTCTCTCTGCTATAAGTTGTTCTCATTACTTGTGAATATAGCATAAGCGACATTTACAGTGAGATACACGCTAATCAAAATTTGCCAGCTGAGCATCTGAAACCACTCCTTAATTATAGCCATTATTCAAAATATTAATTACACAAGTATAATCCTCTCAAACACTGCAATTCATAAAAGGTATATCAAGTTAGTAAACATCATAAAAAATACCATGAGGAAATAGATTTGCCAGCATTCTGTTCGCTGACAGTATCAACAATGTTCAATATAGGATTTTTTCAGGTGATAACTGCATGTGTGCATAATACATGTAATCAGGATGTAATCTACTCACCTGTAGTGCCACGGTTTTCTGCTGCCAAGAAAATGCACAACTTTTACACCTTTCCCGAACCTATAAAAGCAAACATTCCATTGCAACCATGTTATATACACCTGTTTTAGACATGTACAGGGGTGTGAACATAACCCATGAGTTTCTCCATTTCCGTACTATGTCAGGCATCTACAGTGGATCTAAAATCGACAGTGACATGAGAACTTACTTGTTCTGAGATCACCATGAGGGTGGTGGCCACAGACCCAAACAAGTATGCATGCACATCACGCGCCAAGGTAGATGTTAGAGATGGACACGCACTAATGGCTATCACTGGCAGATATTTCATGGACTACACCCAGAGGAAGATAATGGAAGAAAACGAGTGATTGACTGCTGGATAGCAGTTTCAATACAGCAGTTTTTTATAAACCGTGAATGTGCCAGACAATGTTGAACAGAAATGTCTCTACTGGCCACATGTATTATAGGTGTCACACAGCCACTACTAACAATAATATGTGAAGCAATTAGCTTTCACAGTGTTCACATATCAAGAATATACAGATAGCCCACTGTAAAAGCATGTGACTATCGTAAATATGTTACAAGCCACAGCAATTGTACATCATTATGATTATTAGGTACCATTGGTTCCACTGATTGCAAACAGTAACGTGGCTCATTTTGGTGAAATCACTCTTTATGATTAATTTGCAACATTATACTTCCTATTTTGTCATTCTGTTTGATTTAAACAAACAGCTGCAATTTTGGTGTTCACAATAATAAATTGAAATTTTCCACCCTGTTGTCTTTACCACAGGTACTTGGGACAGAGTCAGTAAAAACTGAAAATAATATGAACGCACATTCACAAATAGGCCCTACTACCGTTCCTCTCAATTACAGTTCCACTGTTACATCACTGTATATCAACTTTCCTTCATAAAAACTAACGCCGAACGCTCCCGCACTCGCCGCTGCGAGTGTGCTGTGTCGCCATGATAATATATACATATAAAGAAGGTATAGGAAACTCCGTTTGCACGATTTTCGACGATCACTCCTCAATTCTTTCACATTTCACAAACTTTTAACGCCTCTACGACCTCCGTCTTGGGCTCGTTCTGCCCTCTATAGTCCACTGAACAAAACTATGTAACTACCGTGGCCGAGAAGTGCCACCTTGCTTTGTAATGTGACTTCAAACTCAGATGTCCCGCGGTTCGTGCCGATTCATCAGGATTGTAGACGATTCAGAAATCCGATCTACAAATTTGTGTACAATCCTGATGAATCGGCACGAACCGCGGGACTTCCGAGTTTGAAGTCACATTACAAAGCAAGGTGGCACTTCTCGGCCACGGTAGTTACATAGTTTTGTTCAGCGGACTATAGAGGGCAGAACGAGCCCAAGATGGAGGTCGTAGAGGCGTTAAGTTTGTGAAATGTAAAAGAATCGAGGAGTGATCGTGATCTAAAAACGCTGCTTAATAATCTAGTGCCACAAAGTAGCAAATCGATCTGGCCTGAACACATTAAAAATTTGTAGAAGCTAATCTAATTTGAACAACCTAGTGACATTCTCATCTTATCATGGTTACCATGCTTAGACAAATAGAAAAGTTTTGTTTTTTTAAATATTTTCATTACAAAAATAATCATCAAAACTAAAATACACTATGCTTTTCAATCACTAATACATTGCTGCTCTAATTAGATAAATGGATTTAGGTTAGTTGGTTCACTCATGCATGTTTTTTTATATTTCAGACTTAGCCAGCGTATTGATATTGGCTAATAAGCATTGCTATAGTTATCTAGTACAAATAGTATCTAATAGCTCATGACCTCAAGTACATAGCTCAAGGACTGACACTTGCTGGCAAAAAATCTATAAGTTATAACTGTAACAAGGCTTGCACCCAACATTACTGGAACACGGACAAAACGAACCCTGATGACACAGTTGTGCTCAAAACTAGTGAAAAATTATAACTGTGTACTAACAGGTTCCACATATCATAAGGAATCTTATCGAATCTTTCATACAACTCACTGTTTGTATGCTGGAAGATAGGTGTATGTGGAGCTTGCTGTCATGTTATAAATAAATGGCAAGTGCTTCTTAATATCTGCAGTTCCCCAGTCTCCGAAGAATGTGTTGAGCAATCCCTGGTCACCCCCTAGAACATGAAAAGTCGAAGGGCACAGAAACTATAGCAGCAGCACTGAAGTCATGAAGAGCATTTCACAAAAATGACCAAATGCTCTGCATGTGATTGAATGAGAAAACCAACAGGGAGCCATCAACAGTGTCAGAGTAGGTAAGGTTAGGTTTCCATCAGGAATCAGCCATCATAATCATCATCCAGAGTGTATCATCTGGCCCTTAATTCGTACCATTAAACATACAGCACTTAAGTGCATGCCGCTTCCAATGAATGGTTTTCATTCCAGTTACATTACATAATTTCATGAAACCACATATCATATGGTAACTAAAAGTATATTTAATTTGATTTAGCATATTTTATGCTGCTCAAATACTGCAATGCACCACTACTGGAACATATATTAACCTTGAAAATAGAACATAGCATAGATTTACCAATGCACAATTTTATAAGTGCAAGCACTTATTGACTGTTCTTTTAGAGAAAAATTACCAACAAAATATTCACATACCATCAAAACTGCCCTTCTCTATAGCATGCGCCACCAAATCGTGGAACGTGGCAAGGCTTGGCTGCATAACGAACACACCAGAATTGAAGCAGTCTGGCCATCCAATGTCCACAGCAGCAGACAGTTGTTCCCGCTCAAACAAGTCATCGATGTTGGCCAGTACCTACATTAACATTAGATGGCAGATTGAAAGTCTACACAACTTCCAAAAGTCAACAACTGGCAGTGGACAAGAAACACTCCCACTGGGAGGTTATTTCTAGCACTGGGCAGACAGCGTCGAGTCTCAACACTTTCTAGCTCGTGATTCAGGATCTCGGGTTTCCTAGAACATGGGTACAGCTATGACTTGCATGTCACACGAAATATACCCAGTTATTGCGTTGGTTTTTACTAGGATTTTACTATCCAGGCACAAGTTCAACAATTAATATATATACATATGTACCACTGTATGTACAACACAACTTGTTATTTTAATCTATATCAATACGCAAACAGTTAGCCCCCCTCTTTGAATTCTGTACAGAGAATTAATATCAGCAACTGGTCGGTACTGACTATATATCATTGTAATATGTTATAAAACGTGTGCCTGGTCACCAATACAGAGGCAAATAAGACTTCAAATTACAAAATGCATTAACTCATCATCTCACCAATGTGTCTGCATCCATAAACACACACTTGCTGTACTGCACCAGGGTCCACACATGCAGCTTGGTGAGGGTGACGCCTAGTTCCGGTCGCGTCATCATGGCCAGGTGGGCCTCATCTTTGCTATCCATCACGTCCACAGGGTGCACCATTGTGTACACCTGGCCCAAGTGCTCACTGATATCCAACACACCAATTAAACGATATAGCTATAAGTTGCTGACAACATTACACTGTAAATGAGATGCGTTACCTTCAACAAGAGTGCAGTGCTAATATTAGGGATTCCAAATTGAAATAGTCTCTATATGCGATAAGGAGATTGAAACTTGACGGTTATACAACAAACGATTGAATACTTTACCTACTTATCAATAAAAGAAATATACAAATGCATGCAAGCTATACTTACCGCATCCCCTGTGATACACCTGGTGTTATCATGACAACTAAGTCATGGGTGGTCCCTGCTATCCGCAGTGACTGCGCAAGAACCAGCGCACCGACCGCGTACGAGTCATTAGTTGCCAAGGTAACAAATGCTTCACCTATAACAGATTCAATTAGGATGAGAATAGGTTAACAACGATAGCATGTGAGCAATTTTACTGGGCTGATGCTAGTTTAACTGTTACACCTGTTATTTCAAATATTAACATGTTCTGTATGTTGTAAAAAGCAGGAATTCAATAATTTTATTATATTATCTAAGCATTTTTCCTTCATCTGTTATACCAACAGGGTTGAAAATGTTGCTACTGGTTCATACCCAGCCCTCGACACTAACGGTTGTCCGATTGCCTGGGACAAGTGAAAGTCTATGTCGGAGAAGTTATTCTCTCGCCTAGTTGCCCGATCGGACAACTGAAAAGTTCTAGTTGTTTAATATTCTTAACATCCTCTGAGCCAGGGCGCTATGGCACCACATTCTCACTTCAAACGTTTTCAAAGGTCCCTGAAAAAAACAGCCCGCGACACCCACTGTTACTATTGCAGATTTATTCAGAGCGGCAACGCGTACCTCCCTGGCCGGGGCGGCATTGATTTATGTACCGGGGTGGGGGTACGATTGTTCATAAGTCAGTTGGGGCATATTCATTACTGAATATGTAGGGGGTGGGCATCGCTGGGATGAGAGGACGACAGCAAAACTCTTTCCTGTGATTGAGGAAAAAGCTGCAATCGGTAATATGACACACAATGAGCATGCCAGCATGCAAACATAAACGTGTGAATTTCATTACGATTTTACTTGTGTATTTAAGTATAATTCATGTATATATATTATAAGTCTCACACCATATTTTGCATTGAAAAGTTGGTACAAACATTGGTACATTAACAAGATTTCTTAGCCTCGTCTATAAGTCGCACCCCCTGATTTTTTTTTATTGAAAGTTGTGACAATAAAAAGCGCGGTTTATACACAAGTAAATACGGTATATATACTGTAAGTGTAATACACACGCACACACGCACGCACGCACGCATGAAAACGCGCGTGCAGACACATGCCTAGAGGTATGTGCGAGCTAGCCTATATGCACACAGGGAATACTGGCAAAAAATATCAGGAGTGTATAATATATATATATATATCTACATCTATCTATATATGTTACATATATATATATATATATATATTTATATATCTATTTATATAATATAGATCTCTATATTATACACTCCTGATAATATAATATGCAGCTGAAGCCGCAACACGAGGACATTAACGGCTCATAGATTGCACAAGTAAATTTTGGACAAGTAAAAATTGCTTCAAGTTCTTGTTGCCCGACAGGACAACCAGATCTGAAAATAAGCGTCGAGGCCTGTATATAAAACTTGAACAAAATAAAAATAAATGGTTAATACAATGCCAGGCACTGAGTAGAGTAGGTAAATGCCTGCTTCCTGTATGGCTGTCTGCCCACTTGCCTGCATACTAATTCATACTTATTTGTGATTCTATGTTCTATGTGAAATGTGAAATGTTCTATGTGAAAGTATTTCAAACAGTCTTCCTGGCTATTCTTATATTCTCCCGATCATTACAATACTTACTGGTATTGCTTGCGAAACAGCAACTTTCTACAATAAGGCTTACATGCTTAAACTACTCATACATCGTTAATTTCACCAATGAACCACTAATGTACAGTACCTAATGAACCACTAATGTACAGCAATTAAACTTTTGTTTGTTGACTTCCTGTTGATGTATTTGCATGATGATGCCACATGTTTCTAATGAGACCATTGCCAAATATAAATTGCATAAAGTAACAGAGATTCTGTACCAATCTATAAGGACTTCCGTCACTGAATGAGATGCACTTGTTTGGTGGCCCCGAATATAAGGCAATAGTTGCGACATTGAAGAATGTGTGTGGCCTTGTTATTTGGTACTTTACGCACAACAACAGCATAAATCTCACAGTGACACTAAAGTAGCATTTAAAAATACGAATGTGGCTTATTTACATTCTAGTTTGCATACTCTCCCAACAAACAAATATATATGCAGAGAAGCGAGTTACTGTGTAAATATTACTCCACATAACGTAGTGTGGCAGGCACGCTTTTCCCTACGTAAACATCGGAACGCAAGGTTTGAATAAGGGAGGCAGTTTTTGTGTCGAGTCTCTTTGATAAAAATATTTTCAGGCACCAAATGCTTGCATATAACACTACTTGCTTAGATGCAATGATTGATTAAGGGAGAAAGCTGCTTTAAAGGATGGTTATCCTCATAGACTTTACCCAGCAGTATCTATCTACTGGCTAAAAGAATTCCTGGTCATTTTTACGCAAACAACAGTCTACTGTAGGTGACGGTACAGGGAGAAACTGTATTAAAATGGTTCAAATTTAGAGGGCCTAGCAGTTTTTAGATCCAGGACTCGTCGCTTTTAAAATCAGATATTAAATTATACGATTAATCTGATTTTTTACTGAAACTTATTATCAGATATAAAAGATGCTACAAAATAAGGTTGTGAACTTGACACGTTGCTTGCAGGCTCATGTTTTACATGTAAGTCAGTTAAATGTAGGTTGCAAAGTAAGTTACTTTCAATTTTTACCACACAGGCATATATCCTATAGGTCAAAGATACTTCACTGAGGCGTGTGCATTGCTCTGGGAGCATTCCAAAGCGGCTGGCCTGCATTACACCAGCAGGGTGGTGGCTGTATGCCGAGACACACAAATAGCGTTTCTAAATATACTACTGTTCATATCGTATGACCTTAAACTACAGTTTGCTATAGCGCTTTCCGAATACGTGTACTGAGGGGAATATTACAAGAACCAATTTAAATGCTTATCATGTCAACTAATAACAGTATGAAGCTACCCATAATTTGCATAAATGTTCATTTATCTCACCTAAACCTGACACCATCTAAATGAAAGATGATTGCTCATTCTGGAATATGACATCATAGCTAAACGTTACGGCACCACTGACCATTACCAATAATTAAAAAAATGGCAATATTAATTTGCTAAGCAGCCAACAAAGAATAATTTATGAGATACAAACACGTAGATACACTTCAGGACTAATAGCCATATTATATATGATAATTAATAGACCTGTACATAAAACACGCATATAGAGTGGTGTGAGCAGAATTTTTGAGGCATGTTTCATCGAAATATGTGAATAATCAAATAAAGGCATAAAACGGTCTGTGTCCAGTATATTAGAAGTAGGCATATCACCATGTATGTAGACATTATGAACAGAAGTGTAACAGACTTGCCTAAATCTGAAGTCACCTACAAATTCTACACTACTAGACTACTTCTATTCTACTTTTAGGTCAGCTAGCCCAGGGCAAACAAATTGAAGAGATGTACCCGATAGAACTATAAGTAGCTTTTATAGATTTTGATTACATCTAATACCACACAAAATACCATCTCAGAAATGAGAAACGTACAAAGACCAAAAATTACTACTTCGTTTATACTTGGAGTAATCATTCAGAATGATTACTCCAAGGTTTATACTACATCTCATCGGTATACAGGACCAATATGTTAAAAAATTCACAATGTGTTGTTTGTTTGCATATTATATGTGGCAGCATTTCTTGTACCACCTCTTGATGTGGCAACTAACGTTACCTGGCACAAGTCTTTTTTCGCAAAGTAAAAGTTATAGAAACCATAGGTATAGAAACATTGTGAACACATTTCTTTTGGAACGTATTTCCTCTGAAAATCAACTTGTTTTTGACTTCATAATGCATATATACTAGCATATTGAAATGGCTGCATATACCATTTTCACATTATGACATTTACTGCATTTACCCCCATGTTCCTACATGTAGTGTGTAGTAGTAGTGTACATGTATGTGTAGAATGTTCACACTAGGACTGTTGATATAAGTAAATGCCTACAAGCTTTATCATATCAATTGCTCAGGAAGTGCCAAACAACATGACATAAGATCAGTCTGCATCACATGGCTGCTTTAAAACTCATCAACGACGTGTTTTTAAACACGACTTTTGTTGTGCGTGCGTGCGTGCGTGCGTGCCTGCGTGCGTGCGTGCGTGTAGCGTGTGTGCGTGCATGCGTGCGTGCGTGCGTGCGTTTGTGTGTACGTGTGCGTGTGCGTGCGCATGTACTACATAGTTTCTACCTACGTAATTGTGTTTCTTTATGTATGGGTAAAAATTATCTAGTGTATTGTACAAAAACGCTATTAGTATTATATTACACACGTCTTAGCAGCAGGTATCCCAAAATATGCTGATTAGTTGCAGAAAATAGCTAAAACATCAAGGGTTTTTAAGAGATTTTGCATGCCAACAGTTACAATAAATTTGCTGAATATATGGGTTTTAAAATACAACGCTTTCAACCATAGAACCAAAAGCGCTAAGATGCACAGATCCACAGCTCCAAGATGCACGGATGATCATTTGACTACGTGACTTAGCTCATGTTAATTATAGGTCATAAGTAGCCCAAGGTTTTCGTAAATGAGTATGCACGAGCAAGCGCCATGTACAGAAATACAATCCTGCACAACCAGTGCATTGGCACGGCAACCAGTGGGCTTCTGAATTAGAAGCACTGGACTAGAGTCAACATGAATTTGCTCACCACCTCGGCAAGACTAACCAGAACACACGTACACATGCCGCACATGATGTGTATTTCGGAGCATGAAGCTGCTGACAACATGCTGCTAAAGTAGGACACTCACTATTCTGGGTTCACACATACATGTATGTACAGCAGCCTAACTGGAATTCCACACGAACCAGGCCATGCTACACACCACATGTTTGTCATAGACAACTTGGCAATTTTGAAAATTATGAACAATTTGTATTATTTCGTACATGTATACATAAAAATTGGCTAGCAATAAAATGACGACTAACCACTGTATACCCACGAAAGCCGTGTGATGATACATACTGAACACAAAAACGTGAAGGATAGAAGCTGACGTTGTATATTACAGATATACCAATCCCTTTACTTTCACTCAAACATAGCTGGCTATTCCTGGATATTTTAAGCTAACTAAGGATATCTATATAAGTTACAATACAGTACTCTCTCTACTATATATATATTCAGTATAAGTTAAACTGAACTGGAGTGCTGGTATAATGGAGACCTTCCAATTAAAAAACATTGAAACAAGCATAAGAAAAATTAAATACAATGAGCAGTGCTCGAAATAAGAAAAAAAATGTGGTTGTCCTGCAGACAACCCAGGCATCAAATCAGGTTGTCCGCAACAATTTCTGGTTGTCTCAAAAAAATATCCCCAAATCTCCTATTTTCAATCACATAATAATATGGTCAGAAAACACCCAAAAACACTGGTGTAGCCAGGATTTTTTAACAAGGGGGGCCAAAAACAGCGAACTGCGCAAAATAGTGGATGACTTAATATTTTAATGGCTCCTTCGCCTCCCTCTCCACACCCTACGGCTCCTCTACCTTCTCTGCAATCTTTGTTTTGGGTGCCATGCGAAAAGGCGACATTTTTGTTCATTGTTCTCTGCTCCCAAGATATGTAATTGTTCAGTGGCGGATCTAGGATTCCAAGGAGGGGTGAAAAACAAGCGGGGGGTATGGGGGTCCTCCCCCAGAAAATTTTGAAAATGTAGATCGCAGGAGATGGTATTTGTGGCACTTTTGAGTACATGTACAGCCTTCATTCTGACTACGACAATTCTCTTCTTTTTTTTTACTTTCGGATTAACATGAATTCCCACTGTTGTTTGTTTTGCATGGGAAAAGCCATCGGAAAATTCAAAATAATAATGGAATAAAAATACAAAAATGTAGGGGTGAACTTGCTGGTTTGCTGGTTCCAAATCGAGTTCACCTCTCATAAATCAGAAAACCTGACATATACCAGTGTTGGAAATAGCAGCTGGTATGCGTCGCTTTCCCACACCATAGATTAATGGCGGGCCGCCAGGCTATAAGTGCTCTTGGAGAACCCATGAGAAAAACATAAATAAAGTGCGTTTTTCGTCACATTTTTCTTTGTTGTTCACCGGACAATGTCTCAGACTAGTTAGGTTGTCCGGCGCAAATTCTGGTTGTCTCGGACAACCGGACAACGCTTATTTCGAGCACTGATGAGCCAAGTAACATTTGTGCACAAGACACGATAACTGCACTGAAAACACAAGAATGACTAGATATTAGAAGTGAAGTAAAGTGAGAATTACGAATCTGATATTGGTATTTGTTGTGATAATGCAGCACCACTTCCATTTTTTATGCATTCACAGATGCAGACATCAGTTATTGGAAGCAGGCTCGTCATAAGGAACCTGAGCTGAGGTTAACATCCACAAATCTCACACGAGTGCAAATTTCATTTCCTGATTACAAGGGGAAATAACATGTTGGTTTTCACAACCTAGACACCTTCCAGGAATCAGATGTACATACCGAGCTTTCCATTCATTACAATGTTACGGGAACCATGATTAGCATATTACAGTTATAGTATTTTTAAGCACTAAGCTTTAAGCTTTAAGCAGTAGCTTTTTGTGCATTTCTTGTAAAATGTAAGGGAAAAAGTGCCCTTCCTGTACCCCCTCCCACACACATACACACACAAACACACGCACGCACGCACGCACGCACGCACGCACGCACGCACGCACGCCCGCCCACACTTTTTTTTTCAAGGGGACTTTTTACAAATTCAGCATGGTGTCTACATGCTCGGGTGTGCTTGTGTGGAGTTACCTTTTATGTTGAATGTTTGTTTTGCTTAATTGGTACATATGTATTGCCTACAGATTTATATATGTGCAGAAAAAAAAAATCTATAAATTTTTTTTAGTCGGACCCCTTTTTGCGGGTCGGTCGGGTGAGGGCAAACAAACAATATTTTTATTATGCCCTGAATGCATGAAATTCAATGATGAAATCTATTAAAAAAACTAATATATATATAACTGTTGTGTGATGGCATTTTCCCTGGGACAAAAACAAAAAGATACAGACTCAAACAAGTATCACTGAGAAAATCAAAAAGCCAGTTGTGGTCTGCAATAAAATTCATTTCAGGGAAAACGTTTGAGATATAATCAGGAGATATATAATGGTGTGGACACACCACTTCTAACTGGGGCTTCCGCTTCAATTACTCTCCAAATAACCTACGAATAAATTAGGCATCCTATTTAATTTTTTCAGATGCAAACAGCCATAGGGCCAAAAATTTTATTTCAAATTCGAAGTGATTATTTCCCCGGCAAGCCGGACAACTAAGCCAATAAATCAAACTAGCTTCTCCGGCAAGCATGGCGGCCAGTATACGTCCCAGAGTAAAGGCAAACGTCCAAACCAGAAGTAAGGGTTAGGGTTACGGTTAGGGTTGCGGCGGCGGGACGGCGGCGGCGGCCCACAGGCGGAATACAGCGGCGGCGGGACACTTCGGTCTGCCGGAGAATTTAACTATGATTTTCAGCACTGCTTCTACAGCAAAGCCAGAAAACGTACACTTTACGTTTCTCCGGCGCCAGAGATCTAACAAGAACATTTGTTCTTAATTCTCCGGCGACCGGAGAACTAACGATGGTTTTCACCGCTGCTTCTCCGGCTGCCGGAGAAATAATACCAGGCTTTAAAATTAAGTGTAGCACGTAGAATCATTTTCTCCCAAACCAAAGCTTCAGCCTAATGCAATAATGTACATAGATTCCTTCTCAAAACAATACGATACGTGTGGCATTCCTCGACTATCCGAAACTATTATGAAAGGTATTATAGGTAATTGTGTCTAGTAGCCTATAAGCTATTGTGTGCAAAAATGTACCTATATTTGTAGATTTTGGGTGCAATAATATACAGCCCAACAAACAACACGATGTTTTTAAAATGAAATCACTGAATAAGATGGTTTTAATCAAAAATGGTGGCTTCTGTAAAAAATATACAGCCAAATTGTAAAACGAAAACGAAAATATGCGTTCAAATTAAGAATTCCATTTGGATTGTGAATATATAGTCAGATGCAAACCTGGCATAGCTACGTAAAACCATGTTATGTTACACTACAATGGCTTCATTCGCATCACTATAAAATGAAGACTATTCTACTAGGGTGACATAAGACTGAATTACGCTCATGTAAATACTAGTAGAGATTTACAAGTCTTTGATAAAAAGACCTAGGCTTTATATCAAAGACGTCAAAGACTCTCTCCGCTCCTCTACTTAGGCACTGAATTGTGAAACTGTCAACACACTGACTGACTTGCCACTGACTCTACAGTGCCAAAGTAAGAGTTTTTCCAACATTGTTCACTTGTAATAGTTTTAGGCCTATAGAGTATAGTATATATGTTATTTTTTTGATTCTGGGTTACGTTAGAGTCAGCGGGTTAGTGTCAGGGTTAGGGTAGGGCAAAAATCTGGGTGTAGCCACCAGCTAATATGTCATGAACATATGACATGTATACTCTCATGAACAGAATTAATTATTATTACTAATACTAATAATAGTAAATAGTACCGGTAATAATAATAATTATTACTTTTATTAGTAATTTCACGAGATGTTTTCGAGACGATGCATTTCGAGATATGTTCATGATACTACATAATTTTGTGTGGTAACATGCTTACCTAGATGCCTAGAATAGGTGTGTACGAAATATATAGAAAAATATTACCATTATCCTTATGCACTAAGAGTAATACTGCTACTACAAATTAAAGAGAGAAAATACCAACTGAAACACCGTCACCAACACCATTTATCATTTTATGTGGCGAAGACTGAAGTGCGCAGATTATTATTTCAAAGTTTCGTAGATTAGGACACCTTGGCATGTCGATAGAAATGATAAAAGCAGCTAATACTAAACGCTTTAAGCAGTAAAATGTTACATGTGCTATCTACATGTAATAACACCTACAATTATTAAAAATAGTATAGAACTACTCACCCTGTGAACATGCCATCTCTCCAGCTTTCTTGAGGCAAGTGAGCGGCTTAGTACGCCAGGCGGCGTTAATATCGGCAACCAGCTGCCAACATGGCTGGCATGTAGTTAGCGATTCGACATTTGAAAAAAATGTCATAACCGGTTACCTACACCGGTTACCGGCGAAACTCAAGACCTACTGAAAATGACTATATATGTAATAAAAATCAGAAAACAGAAATGCGATTTAAGTTAAATCACGCTGTGCACATGATGTGTACCGTCATGAAGATATGGCCGTATGAAATAATTATAGATACATACAAACACATCACATACACAAAAACATACAAACGCGTGTTTATATATGTCTATGGCATAATCTAGCGGCAAGTATAATGAATAGACTAGTGTAAGTCTGTTACGTACACTTTGAGGTTATTTGCTCCTGACACACGCACGCACACACACACACGCACGCACACACACACACACACACACACACACACACACACACACACACACACACACCGCGGCGCGCGCGGCACACGCACGCACGCACCAGCCATGCGCACACGCGCACGGACACACACACACACACACACCACACACACATACACAACAAGCACACCAGCAGCGCACACACCAAACAAACACAACACCACACACACACGTGGCGTGTGGCACGCACGGCGCAGGCGGCGATGGCAATCAAAGGGCAATGCCTCGATGGCAATGTAAAGCAGTGATAGGTATTGCTGATAGTCTACTGAACAATCGATAGTTTTCGATGGTGCGACGTTAAAACACAGTTTATTTAGTGCTAAATATATATCAGTGGGCGATCCTGCATAGGGCGGAGCCAGCGTAGGCCCCCGCCCCCGTTTGCAGGCACAGAAAAAAAACGTTAAAAAAATGCCTTTTTAGGGTAGCAGTGGTCTTCGGGGGTACGTCAGACTGAAAACGCCTCCTGCTTCTGTTGCTGCCATAACAAGGACCCCCCTTTGCAGAATGGATAAGGTGGTCAACATCTTCATCAGAAAGAAGCCTCGAAGGTTGCTATAGTATTGGCAAACCCCATGGGGGACGTTTAAGGCCAGGTCCCAAAGATACAATCATGACCTGAACATCTCAGTGGGCCTAAAATTAGTAGGGCCTAATTGTCACACTGACTTCTCAGCGCCTGACCTCGTGTACGCAATCGGAGATATCATCAACATGATCAAGTGGTTGTTTCCTTTTAGTGCCATTAAACATGTTAAAAGGACTTATCAGTTATGCTGGTGTTGGGCAATTCTTACCTGAGTTTTAATACATTATATTCGCACAGCCCGCCCCGCTATATACGCTCCTGTGCGTGCGTATGCACGTACACGTGCGTGTGTGCATGTGTGTGCACGTCCACGTTGGCGGTGTGTGCCATGTGTGTGCACGTCACGGCGTGTGTGCAATGTGTATGCACGTACACGTTCGTGCGTGCGCACCTACACGTGCGTGCGTGCGTGCGTAATGTGTGCACGAACACGTGCGTGCGTGTGAAGTACACCTCGCGTGTGAAGTCCCTGCGCGTGTACGCGTACGTGTACGCGTGCGTGCGGTGCACGTACATTGTGCGTGCGCGTACACGTGCGTGCGTGCGTGCGGTGTGCAGCGTACACGTGCGTACGTGTTCACGTACACAAAATACATATATATACGCTCCTGTGCGTGCGTATGCACGTACACGTGCGTGTGTGCATGTGTGTGCACGTCCACGTGCGTGTGTGCATGTGTGTGCACGTCCACGTGCGTGTGTGCATGTGTATGCACGTACACGTTCGTGCGTGCGCACCTACACGTGCGTGCGTGCGTGCGTGCGTATGTGTCACGAACACGTGCGTGGCGTGTGCTCGTACACGTGGCATGCGTGGCGTGCGTCGGCGTATGCGCACTGTACACGTGCGTGCGTGTGCACGTACACGTGCGTGCGTGCGTGCGTGTGCACGTACACGTGCGTGCGTGCGTGCGTGTTCACGTACACAGAATACATGTATGTACATCAGAAGTAGATGACTCGGTGAATCGGAGCCCCGGGAATAATGACCCGGTGCCCCTGCGACATCAACACAACCCCTTGGCCAAGTTAACTACAAAACTCGAAGGGGAACGTTTCTTCGTAGACAGCTCTCGACATTGTGATTAATTTACGTATGACCGACTACATTGTGACTACAAAACTGAGTATCCTGAATTGTACGAAGGGGGCGCTTCCAGAATATCCAGATCAGAGCCGTATATATAGACGTCTTTTGACTATGATGACTTCTGATCCAGAACAGAGCCAGAGATCAGTGGGTCAGAATATACTAATTAGACCAGCAACTTAGTTTAGTATCCCTATTTTCATAGTCAGAACAGAGCATATAAATCCACTGATTTATACTGATCAGTTGATTTATATGCTCTGGTCAGAATTATAAAACAACAAAACAGCCCCATCTACGGCCGCGTGTGGGACCTACTAAACCGCGAAAAGACGCAAAATAACGCGAAATGCCGCGAAATGACGCGAAATGACGGCCTCCTAAACCGCGAAATGACGCGAAATGACTCAAAATCATCATACATAAAATTAAATTAAATTAATTTTTTTATTAAATTAAAGTTATTAAATTATTTTAAATTAAATGAAAATGATAATTAATTTTAAATTAATTAATTAATGAACGCGATATGTCGAATGTCGCGAAATGACGCGAAATGACGCAAAATCGACGTGAAAATTAGCGAGCTAACGGCCTACCCCGCGAAATGTAATCAATTTCTGTAGATATTCTTATTAACACACACACACACACACACACAGGCCCACACACACACACACACACACAACACACACACACACACACACACACACACACACACACTGGCGTAGCTAAGGGGGGCACAAGGGGGCCATGCGACCCGTGGATGGCAAACAAAACAACAACAAAAATTTTCCTTGCCTCTCACGGCGTCTTCCGCACAGGACTGGCCACTAATTCCTGTTACTTCGCATTCTGCTGAACGAACAATTCTCCTACAATGAGCCATTGTCAAGTCTAACTTGCGTTCTAACAATGACGCCAACACGATTCTCTGCCTGCATTCTCCCTTTCGTGAACAGGATTAGTGAATGAACATTAAATGTCACGAAATCCTCTACCATGACGAGAGACTTGACTTGGATTTTGAGATTTCTGCAGGCAAGACAAAAACATGACTAAAAGACAGGAGATACTTCTCTTTGCTCAGATTTGTGTTGTTGCAAGTTGGCTTGATTGAATTTTAATGGTCTGAAGCTCTTAGTTGACAGAAGAAAATAAACTGAAATGCTTTGTGAAATAACTTTTGATATAATTCGAACTTCTAGACGGCCATTTGGCATCCACCTCGGTTTTTATTTCAAATCGATTCAACACGTATGTTAATAACTGTTCTCTATCAGGGGAGGCAAAAACACTTCTTTTCAATGGTAAATTTCCTTTTTATTTTAAATAGAGCGGTATTTTGGCAGCTACCTTTGTTTTTATTTGAAATCAAATTTCAATCATGTTTAGTTCTTCATCAGAGGAAAGCAAAAACATTTTTTAATACCGAACAAATGTTAAATGTGCTCTTTAACGCTATTGTATCTAAACGATGTAAATCTTTTTGTAATTTAAATAAATTGCATGTTTATTCAGTGGCAGTTCCAACACAATCTACCTGTTTTTTCCGTAGATTTTGATTATCGATTTCATTCATAATGCCTCTACTTTTTTCAAAAATAATTTAACTTTTAACTTTTTATATGAGGAACTCTGAAACAGTTTATGACGGACTAAACTGCCAACATTGCTATGGTACTCGCTAACAACACAAATCCAACTCCATTCAATAATTCCGTCAGTGCTTGAATGAGGACCATAGGCGTAAGCTAAGGGGGGGCACAAGAGCCAAATGCCCGCGCCTCCTTGATCGGAGAGCTACAAAATTAAGAGAGAAGGGCCTCTAATGGGATTGGTCTATACACTAATTACCTATACCTAATAATGAAATGCCATGCGCGACAAAATGCCATTTTTGAATGCACATATTTTCAAAAATTCCCCTCTGGTGGGAGGGGAAACACCCTCCCCGTTGAGAAATTGGCTTCAAATCGCTGTCTTTGGGTCGCTAACTCGTTTCTTCCTCCCTGAAAACACTGGCTTCGTACAGCATTTACTGGTCTAAGGCTAAGGGTCCACCAAACTGGTCGTGTGTACCTCCGAGGGGCCTTCCGGCGGCTCAGCAGCCGGGGCCATCGTCCCACGTTGATCGGATCGGAGTGGAAACAAATCAAAAGCGAAGGAGGGGGGTTATAAGGGATTAGCATATGCAGCTTTTCTGCATAATAAGTTAAACCCCTAATACTGAATTTTCAGTGTGCAGAAAAATGGCCAATTTCATGCACCAGAATTTTCCAAAAATCTCGCCTACGCGTGGAGGGGGATAGCCCCTCCCACACCCTAGCCGCCCATCGGTCGCTTCGCATCGCCTCGCACTTGGGCCCCCTGTTTCCAATTGCTGGCTACGCCACTGCAGACAATGGTGAATGTTTGCATAATCTTGCGTGATGTTAACCTCCGTTGATCTTGCGTCCTTGTAGTATTACTCTTAACTTAGGTGCGAGGAGAGAGATAGAGAGGGAGCAAGGGAGGAGAGATAGAGAGAGAGAGAGAGAGAGAGAGAGAGAGAGAGAGAGAGCGAGAAGAGAGAAGGTGGGAGGGAAGAGAGAGAGCAAGGAGAGAGAGAATAGAGATAGAGAGAGAGAGAGGAGCGATGAGGAGAGAGAAAGAGAGCGAGAGACGGAAGAGAGAGAGGGGTGGG